TTCTTACTCTTCTACCTTCAAGTTCACTGACCTTTTCTTCTACCACAAAGTTCACAGAATGAATATTTTTATTACAGTTACATTATATTCTCAGATATAAAATTTCCATTTGCTTCTTCTTTTTTTTAAAATTTGCTTCCATTTATCTTTGAGATTTCCCCAGGTATGCTTTCATGTGACCAGTTTTTTCTTTAAATCCTTGAACAAATTTATCTAAGTCCTTTAAAGTCTCCCATCTACTAATTGTAAAATCTGCATTGTCTTAGGGTCAATTTTTAATTTTTTTTCTCCCAACAGCAGCTGTTGTTGTTTGCATGGCTGTTAGTATTTTAACGTATATGGTATACTGTAGATGCTATGATGCAGAAATCCTAAACTCTGTTATCTTACCCTGGAAAGTACTGAGTCTGGGCATTTAACTTGACTAAATTCAAACACTAAACTCTTGTTTTTTCCTGTAATGGGAAGCAGCTGAAATCTCTGCTCAGTTCTTTCAGGATTCCAGCTGTTGATTCCTCCCAGGGTTCACGGAGTTTCCCTAATCCATGCATGGCCCAGAAATCCACCAAGAATTTAGGTAATTTACAACCACATTTGGAGCTATTCTCTTTACAGGATTTTCCCTTTATTTTCCAGCAAGTCTAGTAATCTCAAACTTATCCTATGACTCTTCAAACCAGCAAAACAAGAGATTTCTGCTGAGTTCTACCTGTACTACACAACGTGGACTGACTTCTGTCTAACCACTAACAACACAAGCCCAGTCCATTGTAGTTTCCTTCTTTCAAGGGTCAGTCCAATTTCTCTGATTTCTCCCAGGTGATGGTTGCTCCAGGTGTTTTTAATATTTTGTCCAGAGTTTAAAATATGTTATCTATGGAAGTTTAAAATTGTTATTTAATTCAACACAAACTACTCTGACACATAACACATAACCCTATGCACTGAGTTTTCATTTCAACAACTGGATGTATAGGTGTGTGTGTGTGTGTGTGTTTGTGTGTGTGTGTGTGTGTGTGTGTGTGTGTGTGTTTTAAACTATTTACTCATCCTAGTTTAAAAATCTGTTTTTTAAAAAAATATTTTGTTATTAACTGACAATTTTTGTGATTCCACTTTTGGTTTCCTTAAACATTATAATAATTATCTCACACTGTACCTATAATAATTAATTTTGTAAGGCCCTTGGAATTTAAAGCTGTTGGTTATTTTGTGTTCTAACTTTCACCTCTGGTTGTGAGCTTCTATGTTTGATTATTTGTAATTCTGTGATTTTAACCTGTGAAAAATCTAGGAGCCTAAAATGAAGATGCTGTCCTCCACAGATGTATATTTTAACTTCATCACTAGCCAAAGGATCCATACCAAGCAGGTATCATTTAGCTCCTCTCATAGCTTAATTGCTAAATCTCAAGTTTATATTCCTTACCTTGCCTCTAGCCCTAAGTTTATCAAATCAACATGAAAAGAATACATATATACCTATATATGTATACACACATGTACACATACTTTCCATGCAGGATAATCCCATCTTTCATCTATACTTACTCCTTACAGTTTAGTTTCAGCTATTTTTAGTTTATCCCTTGGGATTTAATTCCCTACAAGTTCACCAACGCAATAAAAAATCTGATTTGTGCAGAATCTAGTTCTTTTGGAACAACAAGGACTTTAAAAAATTCTAGTCTATATATTAGAAGATCACACCATTATACTAATACCATTATACAAAGGTTGTGTTATTCTGTTCTCTATTATACTTTTACAAGCAGGAAAAAATTATTTCTAAATTTCATATTTTTCATATCGTAGCAAGTACTAACAATATTACCAACCTCCTTAAAACTATAGAAAACTTTTAAGTAAAAGAAACCGTATAACTCTGAATTTTGAAAATCAACCCACAAAATAAAAATAATTGCACTTGGCATTAGCACCAGTATGACTACAAACAAACCCAAATAGGTGCAATTCAATAAAAAAGCTCAGCAGATCCAGAATGTGCCTGTATTCATTTTCTTTTATCATGGAAAAATAGTATTTTAAACTTCTTTTGGAAATTTTTCAGACTTGTATAAATATATCAGCAGAATGGACCCTACTCTGAGAAACAGTTTTCTAAAAGTAATCTTTTTTCATAGTTTGAAACAGAATAAAGTTAACTGATCAAATGTCCTTGGCTGAATTAGCATGATGATGTACACTAATTACAAAGACTTAGCAATGATATTAGGAAGCTTTAAAAAGGAAAAGATGAAGAAGAAAAAAGGCACTTGAATGGGACAGTTATAGCAAAAGCCATTATATTTGACTTCAATATTATGCAAATCTAAACATGGAATGTATTATGTTTATACAGGATAAAATATTTTCAAAACAGCAATGTTATCATTCAATTAATATATATTTACTGAGCAACTATTTTATTGATGACAACATTTAGTAACAATTTAAGGAACACAAGGCTAATTTACAGAACCAAGATTTCAATTTTGGCTTTTTTTACTTCAAAGTTCACGATTTTCTACTTAAACTCTTAAAAAAAAGTGAAGGTTTCATCTAGATAGAAAAATTATAATGCCTCTCATTTTACACAGAAAGAAAATTTTGAAGGAAAGAAAGAAACTAGGAGCAACAATTATTTAATTCATCTGTTTCCTCTGTTTTAAGGCAGTATTCAAAGGACCAAACAGAAGGTAGAGAAAACTATACTTATTGAAAACTTAGGTAATCTCTAAATCCTTTCAAAAGCATTTTAACATACTAAATAAATGTAAGATATGAAAATTATGAAACATAAGAAAATGAATACCCCAAAACTCACCACATAATTTATGAATTAGATCATTACTACCAATTTGGTTGGGGACACACACACACCTCTTCTCTATCTCATCTGCTTCCCACAAAATACTACCATTAAACTGAATTTTGTATTTGTCATTCCCTGATTTTCCCCCAAATTATCTTTTACCACATACAAATATAACCCCAAAGTTTCTCCTTAAACTTTTCAAGATAATATGTAGTCTTTCAAAATTGGTTCTTTCACTTGTTATATTTTTAAGACTCATCCACCCATTCTACTGTCATTGGACATTTGCTTTCCTGTTTATTTTAGATTCATTTAGGCCATATATATTTTCACAAATACTCATCACTGTGTAGTTTTTCCCTGTCAAGTCGTAAAGAAATTAGAATATGGATCACTCTTTCCCATAAGTTATATTATACATTTAGCCTTGCAAGTGCATACCAAAAACTCATCATCTCAACACCATTTAAAAATGATTCCATCTTCATATGTAATTTGAAGATGGAATCATTTTTAAATGGTTTGAACCACTATTTGAACCACTCCCATGTAAGACCTCAGAATTTACTGCATTTAAAAGTAAAAGTTTACTAACAATGATAGCGATCCTCAACTAAAATGCTATTACGCTTCATGCATTATTAAACTGTGAATTTGACCTTAACTTTCTCTGTTAAAACATATTAACTCAGCAAACTTGCTATATATGTGAGACGTCAACCTTAAGATTGTATAGTCACAAATAGTCACAATTGTGTATTTGTAGCTTGGTATATGAGAACAGTGATCTTTCTAATGCTACAACATTTTGGGGAATGAAAAACTTACTCCATACACAATCTTGAAGTTGATTTCTCACATATATAGCAAACACTCAAACTCTCCTAAAATAACATGTACCATGTTAAGAAGACATTAAGAAAGTTCCACTTTTAATAGTTTTTTTTTTTTTTTTTGGTTCTCCATTTCTATAACAGAACAGGAACACAATTCAGGAAATATCACCAGTTTGTTTTCAATTCCTACTCAGGGATTTTCTGTTACATTACCTTTGTAGCTTTGTATATATGATAACTGAATGATCTATCTAATGCTCAACAGGGAGAAAAGTTTTTGTAGTTAATTTTGGGGAATGAAAAACCTACTCCATGATCCATAACCTTTAAGGACATAAGTAAAACACATTTGTTGATACCTATGGGACAGCCTTTAGATGTTGAGTTTCCTTATTCATAAAGTAAACATAATAGTTGCCCCTAAATGATAGGGTTTTTTTTAATCTAATGAGAAACTGTAAGTAAATTGCTAAATACGGTACCAAGATCGTAATTAAAGATTCCATAAATAGATTATTGTTATTTCTGCACATCTTTTCATTTTCCCATCAATTTTCTATTTGATAGTAATATTTTCCCTGCTGTTTTACTTTGCATTTCATTCAACTCTGAAAATAATACAGGAATATGCTCCTCCAGGGGGGTAGTAACAAAGTCAGCCTGGGGGACAAGGAGTATCCAGAGGATGTACTGTTTTGTACTCCTCCCACTCCCCAAATTTGATTTTTTTAAAGTTATTTAGTGATTTAAAAAAAAGTTTTGCAGGGCAGTTAACTGCGTTTTAATTCATCTAAATATAGGATGGATGTAGGAGAGGAAGAACAAATGAATATTATCATTTGTTCTAAAGCCATTTTCAAAAATCAATTATGGGGTTGGATGAGAATTTGGAGATTACCCAATACAAATTTATTTTCATAAGTAAGAAAACTGAGTCTATAATTGACTTCGGGGATAATGAGAGTCTTGAGTGGAAACCAGGTTCCAAGATCCAGTTCCTGAAAACTTTCGAGAGTTTGTATTAATTCACTGCCCTAATCTAGGCAGCATAAGGCTCAACAATCGTGTTTTCATCTACACCGTCCCATTCTCGATCAGTTAACCTATTTAAATTTCGCATTAGGCATTATCTACATAGAGTCCACAACCTATACAATCTGTCAAAAGGCTTGGAGAAACAGAAGTAAACAAAGACTACATGATGAGTGCTGCTGGAGAAGAGGTAAATTAAGGGTACTGTCAACACAAGTTTATAGTCTTACAATAGTAAAATAAAAAAAAAAGGGCTATTGGGCCACATAATATCTACTCATAAAACAAATCAGCAATATCTGGGCAGGAGATACCTACGGCATTTCGAATCTCAGGGAGGCACCACCGCCGCTGGACAAAACGAACTAACCAGCTGCAGGAAACGCTGCAACTGAAAAGCGCGGGCAAGCGGGCACTCCTGGTGTCACACCTAACGCGGTCCGCCCGAAACACCCTCCGCGCAATGAGGAATCCGAGTAGGTGCGAGGAAAGGGGTGCATAAGGTGTCTAGGCCCCAAACCCACATCCAGTCCCGCCGCGCGTAACACGGGACCCTCTCACTGCTCGGGCCAGAGAAATACTCGAACAGAGGAGCAGCAAAACCATGCCTGTTCTTTCTGGAGCAATTCATCCTACATTTATAGCCGGACCGTTTAGGGAGGTGCTCCGCGTCTTATTTCCGGTGGCAGAGAGGCGCAGTTGCCATGGTAATTAGAGAAAGGCGAGGTCGGTCAGACTGCTGCGAGAGGGTCGCGGACCGGTGGAGAAAACGGGCTGTGCTTCCTCGTTTGTGAGCTGGAATTAGGTAGCAAACAGCTCGCTGTCTCTGTCTCTTCCCTCCCTCTGTCCCTCCCCCTGCGGCTTTCTCTTCTCCCGCGTCTTGTGCGTCTCTGTCCTCCTAGCAGTTGGTCTACGCATGTCCCTAAAATGTACCTACACATGCAGTTTTATGCCTGGAGAAATCTGAAAACAGAGATTGCTCGAGATTAGCCTAGACCGTGCTTCACTGCGGAGGGACGGTGGCTGCATGGCTCTGTTTCCACTTGGCCCTTGAGAAGCCCGAGGCGCTTGTTAACAGTTTATTTTTCCTGCTATTGTGTGCCTGGTTATTTATGGAGCCGTTTGCTGCCGTGTACTCTCTAGGCCCCTGCCTCGGTCTCGGGCTGGAGTTTTAAATAAAGGAGGTTTCCAAGCCTGAGGGGTACAATTATATATTTATTTAAGCTTCAGTTTAGTCTCTCTTCACAGAAAAGGGGAGAATAGAATTCTGGAACATTTCCGCCGTGGGATTTCCAAGTGAGAGACTCATCATATTTGGAAAGAGTATTTTGAAGAAGATCCTAAATTTTATTTTATTTTTTTTCGTTTAAAAATTGCTTGCTGCAAAGAGAACATTCATTCTTCCTTGTTGGAACAGTTTTCTTTTACATTTGTGTGAAGGTGCGTGCTCGCATATGTGTTTAAAACTCTGATGCTTAATTATAGTGATACCAATTTGCAGTAACCAGACTGTGACGCCACATCCCTATGGGGTCCTTCTAAATCTGGTGTAATATGAAAGTGTCAGGCAGGCGGTCTGTGTATTATAAATAGGGTACTTCATCCATGATAAGCGATTATTATCTTTCTTTCCCAAGTGTAAAAGACCTATATAATTCAAGAAGGTGCCAGTGATTTAGGCCCCCTGAGTAAGAATCCAATGAGTCCTGAAGGAGACCCTACCTGTGTCATTTTATTGTTGAACTTGAAATTTCAATTTATTACGTTAAAATGTATTTTTAGAAGTCAAAGCTGGATAAAGTAATGTTGGAAGCTGTTAGACCTCCAGTACAATTTAGTACCTCATAGTAGCCATTGTTAATAAGCCTTCATTCACATTAACAAAGAGTAAATTGTTTCTGAAATTTACTGCCTTTCACTACTTACAGGCGAAGTGACATCTCTGTCCCTCCATTTCTTCACCTGTAAAATGGACAAAAGTAGGGGTAAAGTAAGATGTGTGACAGTTCATTAAGTCTTATGAGCAGAGGTGCTGTATAAACCCAAAATATTATTAGTAGTAAAGGAACACAGTAAAGCTCTGTGGTAATGCTATAAATGGGACTGTAAAAATTCAGTTATTTTTTTTGAAATTCAGTTCTTTGAAATAAGGAGCTGCATTATTGAGATGTTAATGAAATGATTTGGTTAATCCTGCCATGGAGGATGGGTGCCAAGTGCTTTCTGTAAAAAAAATCTCATTATTATGGAGTTTCACATTTTTGTTATGGTTATTTACATATTAGGGATTGAATTCAGAGGCACTTGACCACTGATCTACATTCCCAGCCCTTTTTAATTTTTTATTTTGAAACAGGTTCTCACCAAGTTATTTAGGGCCCAACTAAGTTGCTAAGGCCCGCCTGGAACTTGTGCTCCTCCTGCCTTAGCCTCCCCACCTGCTTTGATTACAGTTGTATACCATCATGCCTGGCTGTAGTTTCACTTTATCTACAGTTTATTTAGCATTTACTAAGTGTCAGACAATGTTCTACATGCTTTATGTATGTTAACTAATATAATTTTCTCAATGAACCTATTAAGAGTCTCATCTGATGGATTTAGAGAATAGATGTATGCTTTTACTTTATCCTGATTCATCTTTTGTTGTTATTTTATGCCTTTGTTCTTTGGGCTGTTATTACATATTGGAGGGACAATTTGTGTGGGTGGGTGTTTATATGTGTGTTTAATTAGGAATCAACTGCCAAGGGTTTATTTTAAATTAACATTATAATTAGTCTACATACATACTATAACATCTTTTTCTTCTACATATAAAAACTTTAATATTGTGATCCTCCCACACACTAGAAAGGTGTAATGACATTTGCATTTTAGGTGATTAATATTGACTAAAACAATTTTGAAATTATTTTCTAGTAGAATGGCCGTCAGTCCAGGAAGTGATGCGGCTTTTACTAGTCAGAAATCCACGCTTTCAGAGAATCCTCGAACAAAGAAATTTCCACTAACTGAAGAAGAGATATTTTATATGAATTGTAGAGCTGCCTACTTAACTATCTTCAAAAGCAGCTTAGAAAACATTATTTCTAAAGATCAACTTTGCCTAGGTAAAATTTTTTAACTTAAAAGTGTTTTGCCTTATTTGTTGAATGTTGCTAGGTCAGAAAGACTGGAATTAGATTTACATTGTTAAACCATCTCAGTTTCATAATGAAGCTTGAGCAATAGAACTACAGTAAGGTATTATGGCATTTTGTTTAAGTTACATATACTAAGAACTTTAAAATAAAATTATGCAACCTAGATTGGTATCTTGAAAGATTCCACCAACTACTACTTGCTTTCAAATTTTTTTATTCTCATTTTGCTGCTTTGGAATTTATCACAGTAGAATTAAAACACTTTTGGCTTCTAAATCATTAGTGTAAATTTTGACCTATCCTGAGAAAAATATAAAAGGTATATAAAAGTGGGGCCAAATGACTTTAAAAGAGAACTATTTGGAGATAATGAAATTTGAAAAGAGAATAATAATTTAGTGGTTTTTTGTTTGTTTGTTTGTTTTTGTCTCTTAGTGCTTCTCTTCATTGTTATAGTTTAAAATTCCTCTGGTTACTAATGTCCCCCCAAATTGATGAATTTGATCCTGTTCAGGGTATCAAATGACATAAAGGTCCCTGGTCTTAACAGAACAGTAAACAATACTAGATACCCTGACTACTCATGTCTGTTTCTTCAATACTGATAACTTTATGAGTAGAGAAAATGAGTTATTTTTTTTCCATCTTTAGAAGTATTTACCTTAAACCAAAACTCTGACATATTTCTTGAATTTCTATATAATAAGATCTCTATTTAAGGAAATCCATTTTGGGGACAATGAGAATTGAAGAGATTAAAATTTGTTTGATGTTTAAATAAAAGACATTATTTGTAAAATAGTTTAAATGCAAATTCCCAGGATTAACATGAATTTTAAAGTTATGAATTAATTTTACTTTGATTTACATAATTTTTAAATTGGTAAAATGTTCCATTTTTAATTTTAAATATTAGTGTTTAATTAATATGTGTTAATGCCATAAGAAGAGATCCAATTAATTTAAGTCCAATATGCCACTATTTCTTAAGTAATTGAGGTTTTTTTCCTTCTTTGAAAAAGAGGTTGAGATAATAAATCTGCTAAGTTTACAAGTTTAACATGATTTCCACAGCTATGGCATTTTGTTTGTGAATTAATGACTGTGTATTAAGGTACTGTCAGTCTTATGAAATTATCTGGGAAGATAATGCAGTTTTTGTCTCCTCAGTGGAATTGTCTTTTGGGTTTATGGTGGAATATTCTTTGTAACATTGTAATAATTGATTTCATATAACCTAGTTATTAAAAAGGAGTAATGTGAACCAATGATATCTCTTTCTTACCACTTTTAGTAATATCCTTCTGCCACCTAGCACATAATATGTGCTGATATTTCCATTTCAAAGTAAGATAGAGCAGTACCATTACCAGAGCTTTAGAAACTTTTTTGCCACTTTATAAATAATACAGGTATTATAGACTCATGTCAAAGCTTATTAAGCCCTGGCAAAAGATCAGTATCTTGTCAACCTTTAAACATCTACAATTACATAATGTTTTCACTGTCATCAAAGTTAACAGTTAATTCCAACTAATTCTAAACCTTAAGATTAAAATTAGTAACAACTAGAATGTATCAGTTTCTTAGATGTGGGGATGTCTACTTAGTACATATTTTGTCATAATTAATATCATTTTGAGAAAATTGTTCTTTTGTAATTAACAGCACATTTTAAAAAACAATATATGTGTGTATATATGTATATATGTATATTATATTGTTGTTACTGAAGATAGCAGCAGGTGTACTAAGCTGCCCCTTGTGGGAAAGAGTTACACATTAATTTTCCCAAGGCTGGACAGAAAATATTTTTTATCATGTTGATTTTGATCTGCAAATCACAACTTCATTTAGATCCTACTTGTATTTCCAATTTTTAAAGGGTAGGAGTTGGCTAGGGATGGAATCCTAAAACATAAATGTCCTTTTGCTGATTCTGTTAATACATGAGTTATGGAATTGTCTGTTCATATAGTGGGCAAAATATTTATCTTTTGGTCCTAGCACAGCATGGTAATCAGGGGTTTTGTCTATATCTAAAATAAACCTGTGGAAATAAAAAATATACATAGGTTTCAATGCTACAAATTACACAAAGGCATTATAGGTGAATAAAAAATGGCAGTTATTACCATTATAACTTCTGTTAGCTTTGAAGGTCACCTTTAGGTTATCTTCTTGATTCTCCTTTTTTGCCAAAATTTAAATTATCTAGATACAATGAACTGGGATAATCTAGAGAATAGGAAGATTTCTCCTTGTCTTCTAAAATATTATTGACCATAAGTTATGACTACAAATAAGATTTTTTTTTACTTTAGATGTAGACTTCCTATTTACATTATAAAACTTCTTTGGAACTAAACAGTTTGTATCTGAAAAAATTTCACTGTATGTATACTTGTCTACAATAAATATTCACTATAACTGACTGAACAAATGTCTTGTTTTATTAACCTGAGTCAATTTCTATTTCCTTGGGGTATTTCTTTAAATTGTTTAATATTTACTAGTCCATATTACATTAAATTACAAAACGTTCAGATTATCCTTTTTTTTAATATTTATTTTTTAGTTGAAGTTGGACACAATACCTTTTATTTATTTATTTTTATGTGGAGCTAAGGATTTAACCCAGGGTCTTGCATGTGCTAGGCAAGCACTGTACCACTGAGCCACAACCCCAGCCCCAGATTAACCTTTTATTAGTATGATTTATGTGGCACAAATCTGTGAATTCTCATTTTAGGTGGAAATATCCAATATAAAGTTTTATAATAGAAGTAGGTAGTATTATTCTTAAAATTCTGCTAATTTCTTCTGTGGTGTTCAGGAAACATAATTTATTAATTTTAGACAATCATAACTTAATATGCAGAAGTTTATTTGCAAATTATGTAATTCTATCCGACTGTAAAGAGATACCTATAATTATTTAAAACCATTATATTTTAGTGTGATATTACATGAGAATAACACAACTTTTTCCACATTATTTTTCTTTCATAAGAACATGATTTAAAATGAAATGTAGTTTAACTGGTATTGACATTCTTGATTTTTAGCCGAGCTGTAACTGCACCTGTATACTATTTTGTGCATACAGTTGACGTGGAACATTTTCTGGAAAGCCTGTCTAGCAATGGTGAACATTTTAGATATCATGCCTTATTGACATTAATATCTTAAAATGAATGATTGAAGGTGAATTTTCATAATTTTATATAATTTTAAAGAAGGAAGAACTTCAAAAACAGAACTGCAAAAATAATTTAAGCAGTTAGATGTAAATGATGATGGCTCTTCTTTACTTAAAGTATTTGTTAAGGCAGAAAAAGTAATAATTCAAGTTTTTTGTCATTATCCTTATGTTCTCAAAACAGTTAAGTGGGTGGTGTTTTTAATCATTTTTTTTCTCTAAAAGTTCTTAAATTAATCAAGTGTTATTGGTTATTCAAAACTTGTATATTGAGAACCAAATTATCAGAACAGTGAAAATTCATTTAATTTTGGTGGCATTAATAAATCAAGACTCTTTAGCTGGTAGAATATATGTGTTTGTTTTCAAAAGTCAGACATACAATAACAACTAGATTGTCAACACCAAAGATAATATATTGGTATATATGAACTTTGTTTAATATATAATGACTGGAAGAAAAATTACACCTTAAATACCAATTCCAAGTGTCACAATAACAAATAATACTTTTTTACTGGACAGCTCTTCAGTATGCAGGAAGAAATCCATCCCAAAAGACCATTAATAAGTATTGGACTCCTCAAACTGCTAAACTGAATTTTGATGATTTTTGTATAATTTTAAAGAAGGAAAAACCTACTTCAAAAGCAGAACTGCTAAAATCATTTAAGCAATTAGATGTAAATGATGATGGCTGTATTTTACATACTGACCTTTATAAATTTCTAACAAAGGTAAGATCTGTGAAACTGTTTTGTAATGTTCATATTTGCAAAACAACTGGAAATCTAGCTTTGGCTATCAAAGTTCCAATTAAAAATAATTATTTCATTTTCAGGTGAAATGAATCACATGTTTATTTATATAACTAGAGGTCCTTTGGATAAAAAGTTCTTTGTAAATAAGTATAAAATTGAGCCTATGTTGCAGTCTTCTTATTCTCCTGCCCAATGGTCTTAAAAAATCAGAGATAGGTTCATATGGGATAAGTAAAACAAAGTATAAATGGGATAAGAAATCTGTTCTGTGTTTTGGTATATTGTCAGAAGAGACTGTTACTCTATATTCAATAGTAGTTACAACTGATACAATGATATGTAATTGTTAAAATTTAGTAAATTAAAATTTAGCATATTTTCATAAAATATAATAAAGACTTGCTGTTTTATTATATATTACAATCTTACCATTGCTTGACATGATACTCATTCTGATTTATAATAAGGCCATATATTCACACTTATAGAAGAGATTAAAATGTATTTCCACAATCCCCGTGAATAATAAAGTGGTAATCGTGTTGTTTTAAAATAAATCTTGTTTTATTTCAGAGAGGTGAGAAGATGACTCGAGAGGAAGTAAATGCCATAATAAATTTGGCTGATGTAAATGCTGATGGAAAATTTGACTATATTAAGGTACAAAAGCTCATATTGATGTAAATTTGCATTCTGAGTAGGGAAATTATTTTTATTTTTCCCCAGGCTTTATTAAGGTATAGTTGACAAAATTAGATATATTCATAGAATACAGGTAATGTTTTGATACAAGTATACATTGTTAAATGATTAAATCAAGGTAATTAACATCAAAAACGGGTTTTTTTTCTGTTTTTTGGGGTTAGTTTTTTTTTTTTTTGACAGTCTACCACTTGCCACATTAGCCCCCACAAAAGTATTTTTTAAAGGGATACATCTTTTTAATATTGGCAATGACTCAGTTGTATGTTGTGTTCATTGTACTCAAAGTCATTCTCTTCAGTTGTACAATTGTGATATGATGATTACATTAAAAATAGTACAGATTATGCATTCCTAATCCAAAAATCCAAAATCCAAATGGTCTAAAATCTGAAGCTTTTTTGGGTGTCAAAATGATGCCACAAGTAGAAAATTCCACACCTGACCTCATGTGCAGGGTAGCAGTCAAAATTTAAGCACAGTAAAAATGCCGTATACAACTACTATCACGGTGTGTATATAAGGTGTGTATGAAACAAGTGAATTTCATATTTAGATTTGAGTTTCATCTCCAAGATTTCTCACCATATATGTGCAAATATTCCAAACTCTGAAAACATCCAAAACAGTTTTGGTTCCAACATTTTCAGATAAGGGCTGCTCAACTTGTATAACCAAGTTAAAATGTATGTGTGTGCACATACAGGCACATAAACAAACAGAGATTCTCCTCAGAAATGTGCCTTTTCTGCAATGACGAATCATAAAAATTATTTAGAACAAATGCAAGTCTATATATCTTGTAAAAAAAATAAATCATTTCTCCTTGTGTAACATTTTATTTCCACTCAGAGTATGACCTCCTCATTGAATCATGACTGCATTTCACTAGGTCACTTGAGGCTGGTCAATCTGATTCAAGAAAATAAAATGAGTTCCCAAGTTCAATAAGAAATATATTCCATCTATCAGTCTATTCCTTGCCTACTAATGTGCATTTGCCTTCTTCTCCCAGATGTATGATTGAATGTTTTACCCACTGGACTACTTTTTTATTTCCTTTAGTTTTGTAAATTATATATGACAACCAATGAACAATGTCTCAAGACTACACTAGAAAAACTGGAGGTTGATAGTAAACTGAGGCGTCAACAGTTTGGAAGCCATGTTGAAAGGCCCCCTGAAAGGGACCCATCACCAGTAACAAAACAGTCACCTAGAATCATAAGAAAAAATGACCAGGAAACATTCTCAAATAAAGGTTTGTACTTTTACAAAAAGAATTTCTTGATCAGCAATGAAGGGTCATAACTCAAATAAAAATTTCCTTTTATCTCAGCTTATTAGTGATAAATGAGAATCCAACTTTTGTTAGCTACCATTTCTAGACTCTTAGCTGTAAAAATCTACTGAAGTAAAATTTTATTATAGAATTTGACTTGGCGATGCTCATTATATTTTTTTAAAACTAAAATTTCAGACTAAAAGGTGACATATTGAAGTGAGGAATCTTATTAGTAGCCCATAAATTAGGAGCCATTAAAGTCTGATAAATATAAAATTTTTGACTTTATTTCAATAGGAAGAACAAAGAGAGTAAAATTATACAATAGATGTTGTATACTACACTGTGTTTATAAACAAACTCCTATTTACAACTTTTCATAATATTAGACCAAATAATATTACTTGTTACAGGTGACACAAGGAGTCCTTTGCTGTCAACAAGTAGAAAGTTCAAAACATCTGTTTCCTTCACAATTACCATGAGTGCTAATAGTAATCGAAACTCAAAGTTAACAGAGCCAAATGTAAAGGTATAGTATCTGAAATTAACATGAACTTTTAATGACAACAGTTGACATTAAATTTATTAGTAACTATTCGTGTGTATAGAGACCCAGTAGTTTGTGAAATAATTCTTTGAAGTTTTTCCTGTAGAATGCAGCATTTCTACCTGTAAACTACTTGTAATGTTTTAAAGTATAAATAAGGAGTATTACTTAAAGGGTTTTAGTTTGAAAATGATGACTCTTGAATTTTTTAACTTGATGAATAGAATATGTAATTATATACTTTGGCAAGCAAATTTTTGTTGTTTAACAAATACTGTCCATAAGTATTTCTTATAAATAAATCATTCATTCAATATCAATTCCTATGAGAGAAAGATAAGAAAGTCACTTTGCTAAGTCAATATTTGTTGAGTGTTAATATTGATCTTCTTCCTTTGTTTTCCCTTTCTAGACTCAACCTTTACTAGTTTTCTTTCAACAGAAAATAATAGCTACAGAAATATAAAACATTAACTGGAAACTGCTAGGATACATTAAAAATGTGCACCTAGAGACCTCTGTAAAAGGGGGAAAAATGGTTATGGCCACATACTATAACTGCTGTTAGAAAACTGAACTGATTGTTCTCAAGAGCTACATTTTTGTTTCAAATAACAACTCTGTATTTGTTATTGAACTCTGAAGTCCCTTATATCTTTAAATTGCTAGACAGTGACATTTGTTCTATATTAAAATTTTAAAACATTATCTCCAAGGAATTTGTTCAGACTGTTTAGGAATCTATACACCCTAAGCAATTTGGTGTGCATGTCCAACATGTTCACACAATATTTAGTGTCCCAACAATATTTTTTTCCACCAATGGAACCTTTCTGTGTTTTGCAAATTTAAGTGCTAATTAAATTAACTTAGTTAAGTAATTATGACTTATCTCTTTCAAAATATTTTGTAAATAAGTGTAATTTTATCCAGCACAAAGATCAGCATTTGCTATATTAAATAATAATAGACTTTTTCTCAGTGCCATAATTTTAATTTAGTGCACCCGAACAAATAATCACTAAACAAGTAATGCTTGCCAGCTATTTTGTTAGTGTAAAATGTGGACCTTGAACTTAAAAAATAGAAATTTTAAATTTGATTATTAATAGTATATATCAAGGTAATATAGCATAGTATTTCACTTATTCATTCATTAATTTAACAAATATTTTTGATTGACTACTCTGTGCCATGCATTATTTTAAGTATTGATGAAGACTTTTGTAAAGAGACAGACCTAAACTTGAATCCTAGCTTTTTTCCTTAATAACTTGGCAAACTTGGATAAGTCTATCCTCAGCCCTTCTGAGTCCAGTTTCCTTATCTATATATTGGGAATATCAATATAAGTCATCTAACAGATGTAAAGCATTTAGCTAAGTAGCAGGTACAGAAAGTATTCACTTTAATAAAAAATAGCTTTGTTAATATTACGGAACTAAGGAATGGCTATAAGTCTTGATGGGATGACATGATGGAAGTATAATTTAAGAAAAGTTTTTCTAGTATTGTACACGGAGACCTCAAATTAGAGAGACTCTCTAGAGTTATCCAGATATAAAGTTATGATAGCATGGCCTAGCAAGGAAGGGGCAGATCTAATAGGTAATGTTGAAATTAGTCTGTAGGCCATAGCTTTTGTATAATAAGAGTCCACTTAAGTTTTGCATCTAAGGCACCGAAAATAGGGAATGATGCTGATGATAATTGGGAATTAGGTGAAAGGTACTAAGAGGATTTAATGATTAAAATAAGTTAGCATACTGTCAACTTTTTAATTCTGTGACTTTCTTATAAATTTAATGTCATTTGGAGAATTTTGTTAGTCCTGTGTTTCTTACCTCTTTATATCCTGTTTCTGATCTCAGTATTTCCCTGTTATGTACTATCTGGCATTTCTTTTTTCTCTCTTTTTCGGCACCAGGGATTGAACCCAGGACACTTACCACTGAGCGACACACTCAGCCATTTTTATTTTTTATTTTGAAACAGGATCTTGCCAGGTTACTCAGGGCCTTAATAAGTAGCTGAGGTTGGCTTTGAAGTTGCAATCCCCCTACCTCAGCTGCCCAAGCCACTGGAATTACAGGTGCATGCTACCATGCCTGGCATTTCTTACACGAGATTTAAAAATCTTTGGTTTTTTTGTTATTCAGCAGCATTCTGTTCTTTGTGATCATTTTACTCTGAAGTATTTTGTTTAATTTTATACATTTCTGAGTTTATCTGACAAGTACTTGGTTATAAAAATACAGAACAAATTTCTAAAAGGATGATTAATTTTCTTCAAATACCTTAAATCTACTTTAAACAAGTTTGGGTACTTTAATTTCATCTTGAACAGAAAAGTATGGAATTGGGATATAGAATGGGATAGACTTCAGAAATTGAAAATTGTTGTAATAATTGTTGTAATGGTGTAATGGGGTAAGCATAAACCTGATTTTTTTTTTCCTTTTTTGAGTCAGGAGTCTTGCTATTTTGCCCAGGCTGGTCTTGAACTGCTGGGCTTAAACAATACTCTTGCCTTAGCCTCCTGTGTAGCTGGGACTACAGGTATGCACCATGCTCAGTAGCCACATTTTAAAACATAAATTCATACAATTAATGAAGGACTTGATTTATTGGAGGAAAATAAGAACTTTACCATGATACACGTGTATTTCTTTCTATTGGCCATATTTAGGTACTGAATTACTATTCTTTTTTTTAAATCCTAAATTCTGTCCATTTTCTTAGGTTCTATAATGTTTAAGGAATGTCAGGAATTTTCTGTTGAGAGAGGAATAGCTTCAACTTCCTTGCTAAGGCAGTCATGACTAAAATTAGAGTAGACCCTAAACTATGAGTTGTAAACTCCTGAGATGCAGTGCTTCCTATATTTAGACTTTTAACTAGAATATGCCTAAATACATGTGTTACACATTTGTGTATTGTATATTTATATGCACATACAGCACATATATTATACAGCCTATATGTTATAAATGTCTATATATATTATATAGAATATATACTAACATCTATCGTGTTATGTGTGTTTACCATATTCATGTGTTGTATACCACATATATTTTATAAAAAGTCTCTTTACATAACAATACAGATATAATCATTTCAAACTAAAAATAGGTCAGTCTATTAATTTTTTTCATAAAATTTATGAAATTGTGCCAAATAGTTTTGTTACAGTAGTTTCTTTTTCAAAATGTTTATAAGTTTACCCTGTGAATTGGGAGAATTCACATCAATTTTTCTCTTTATAAATTTATTTAACCTTTTAAGTATTCTTAAATACTAACAAAAAATTTACTCTTTTTACCTACTTGTTTTAACATTACTAAAAGCATAGGGTATCTTTATAAAAACAACAGTGATGAAGATAAGTTTCTTCTCTGACAAAATCAGGGGCAGATCTACTGCTTACTAATTCTTCTCACCTAAAATTTTGATAACAATGCGTTAGTCATATCAGAACAATGAAGTTCACTACAGTAATTTAAAAAAATGTAATTTTACTGGTATATTTGTTTTGATAGCTGTTTTCCACTTTAAAATGTGTAATTTGTGCTTTTCAGCATTCCCTTATATGTTATGAATGAAAAATAAATAAAGTTGTTTACATTTATATAAATTTACTTGAATTGGTAGAATATAGCACCACCTCATGCCCTATATAAGAATTACAAGCTATTGTTTTATTTCTGCTTTATTTTGTCAAAAAGTATACATGAAATTTCATATTCTATTATTCTAAAATTTAAAAAAAACTTATAGTGTCCTTACATTTTTCCCATAATACTCAAACTTGTCAACTTAATATATAATCCTTTCAAATTCATTTATTTGAATGAGCCACCAATTAATTAGTACTTTTTTGTTTTAATTTGTAAAATTTTTGTCAGAGAAAAAGTATTGAGTGATTGAAAGTCTATCTATTTTCAAGGAAATTTTAAGTTGAAAGAGCATTGTATAGGGCTGGGGTTGTGGCTCTGTGGTAGAGCATGCTTGCTTAGCAGGTATGAGGAGTTGTGTTCGATCCTGAACACCATATAAAAATAAATAAAATAAAAGTATTGTGTCCACCTACAACTAAAAATAAAAAAGAAAGAGCATTGTATATTTATTAACTCTGAAATATCTTAAGAAATCAAATGTTTCCTTTTGAACAGTGGAGCTATAAATTCTCCAAGTAATGTTATTTACTACCCAGAAGAGTCTAATTTTTATACTGAAGTTGAGTTGGTATCAATCATGTGGCATTTGTCTTATTCCTATAATAGCTGCTGTTCTACCATTTTCCATCTTATTAACCTATAGATAATATTGTAATATATAGTTAGGCAGTCTTTCCATAGTAATTTACAAATTCCCTTCTACTATTACATTATTTTATGAAATTGGAACTTAGGAAGATTTCTAATATTTAACTTCTTCCCAGCTAGATTTTATAAAGTCATCTTCTGTCAGTCTGTGTACTGCCCCTAAAGTACCATCAGCTATGGAAAAATCCTTCTATCTGAGTTTCCTCAGTGGTACAAATTATATTTACTACTCACTATAGACAAATATACCAATACATGTATTAATTTCATTTAAATAATTAGGAGCTACTATACCATAATTACAGTGCAAGTATAGGAAATGTTGCAGCTACTAAAATTATGGGATTTTTTTCTTATTAAGAAAACTAAATAAGTTTATCTTGATACTTAAATGCATGGGTAATTTGAATAATAAGCTTCATTACACTTTCTTATAATAACATCATAAACAAGAAATTTCTATTAAAAACTGTCTTTAGAAAATCATGGCAGATATTTAAATGTGAAGTAAAACTTAGAATATAACTGGTAGACTAGAGAGAAAATAAGACCTACTTTACACCTTTGGTTTTGCTATCAGTGAGAACTGTGGCATTTACCTACCATTTTATTTTTCAGACTTTTTTTTAATCAGTCAAAAAGGAAGTATGCAACTGGCTTGCTTTTGAGATTCTCTCTAACTTTAATACAAGTTGAGCATCCCTATTCTGAAAATCCCAAATGTTGCAAAATCTGAAACTTTTTGGGTGCCAACATGATAAGCACAAGTAGAATATTCCACATCTGATCTCATGTGAGGGGTACAGTTAAAATGCAGACACTCTAAAAATTTTATATAAAATTATATTCAGGCTATGTATATAAAATATATGTGTTTTGGATGTGGTCATGCACACCTGTCATCCTAGCAATTTAGGAGGCTGAGTCAGGAAGATTTCAAGCTTAAGGCCAGCCTTTGGCAATGTGGTGAGACGGTCTCAAAAAAAGGGGGGTGGTGGCTGAGGATGTAGAACAATGGCAAAGTTCCCCTGGGGTCAATCCCCAGTACGAAAATAAATAAACAAACAAACAAATAAATAAATAAATAAATAAAATATTAAACAAAATGAATTTCATGTTTAGACTTGGATCCCATTCCTTATGTATATACAGATAGTCCAGAATCTGAAAAAATCTGAAATCTAAAACACTTTTAGTGTCGAAGTTTTAGATAAGGGATACGCATCAATTAAATTAAAATTAATATAAAAGTATTACAGTATCATTTTTTGTTAGAAAATACTTGTAGCATTTAAAATATATAGAATGAATGTTTTATGTATCCATACCTTGATTAAGAAGTCATCTCTCATCATCTCCCAATTGTTTTCATAACACAGTATGGATCAAGTAATGGTAAAAATTATTATAGTATATGTCACTGGTGGTCTTGTAAAATTAGCATCATTGTTTTACAGAGCAATGTGGGAATACATGTCAAAACACTTAAATTATAGATGCTTTTTAACCTAAAAGTTCTCAGGGAAATAATTCATCAGAAGAGAAACGTACTCTTTTAGCATTATCTATGTTAATGAGAAATTGGAAATAACATAATCACTCAACAATTTAGAAATAGTTAAGCAAATAATGATATGTCCACTCAATTTTTAATCATAGACCCAGCTAATCGAAAAGGTACAGTTCTGTAGCATTAAGCACATTCACACTGTTGTGCAACTATTAGTACTTTCATGTCCAAGGCTTTGTTATTTGAAACTTGGCCTATTAAAACATAACTCACCATTTCTTTTTCTCTCAGCCCCTTGAAACCACCATTCTACTTTCTGATTTTGACTATTCTAGGTACTTCCTATAAGTGGAATCCTATAATATTTGTCCCTTTGTGTCTTGCTTAGTTCACTTAGCTTAATGTCTCTTTCATCCATGTGTTATAGCATGTGTCAGAATTTCATTCCATTTTGGGGTTAAAAAATATGTAAATGTATGAATATGCCATACTTTGTCTATGTATTCATCCATTAATGATGGACATTAGAATAATTTCACCCCTTGGCTATTGTGACCAGGGTTGCTATGAAAATTGATGTACAAATATCTGTTTTGAGTCCCTGCTTCCAATTCTTTCAGATGTATACCCAGAAATGGAATTACTAGATCATATGGAATTCTATGTTTAATTTTTTTTGAGGAATTAACATACCATTTTCCACAGTGGCTTTACCATTTTATATTCTTATGAGCAATGCACAAGGGTTCCAGTTTCTCCACATGCCCACCAATACTTCTTATTTTCTTTCTTTTCTATTCTTTTTATCTTTCTCCTTGTATTATAACCATTCAAATGAGTGGTAAAGTATTATCACATTATGGTTCTGATTGGACTTTTCCTAATGGTTAGTGATGGTTGGTTGCACATCCTTTCAAGTGCTTATTGGTTGTCTGTATATCTTTAAAGATATACAGTTCATTCAGTTCCTTTGCCCATTTTTAAAGATCTGTTTCCTTTGGGTTTTTTTTCTTTATACATTTACAATTTTTAATTGACATAAAAAATTGTACATTTTTGTGGAGTACAGTGTGATACTTCAATACATATACTCAAGGTAAAATCAGGGTAATTAATATTTTTTTGTTGTTGGTTTTTAGTTCTTTATGTGTTCTGGATACAGTTTCCTTTTCAGATAATTTCAAATAATTTTCCCCATTACATGAGTTACCTCTTTACTCTTTTAATAATGTTCATTGAAGCACAAGTTTTTAGTTTTGATGAAGTCCAGTTTACCTAATTTTTCTTTTTTTGCCTGTGCTTTTGGTGTGACACAAGTAATCAATGCCAAAGAGAATGTCAGCTTTCCCTCTGTTTTCTTAAAGTTTTGTAGTTTTAGTACTTATCTTTAGGTTTTCCATCCATTTTGAGTTGATTTCTCTATTTGGTATAAGGGTTCAAATTCATTCTTTTTCATGTGGATATTCAGTTTCCCAGCCCCATTAATCGAAAAGACTGTCCTTCCCCTTATTTTATGGTCTTGGCACCCTTGTTGAAAATTATTTGATCACATATTTGAGTGGTTATTTCTAGACTGTCCATTCTGTTCTATTGGTTTATATGTCTGTCTTTATGCCAGCACCACACTATTTTGATTACTGTGGTTTTGTAGTAAGTTTTGAAAAGTGTGACTCTTCCAACTTTTTTTTTCAGTAGCAGAATATTTTGAATATAATGTTAGAAACTAAAAACAAAAACATAAAATGATATTTGTTAGAATGTAAAAACATACGTCTCTGTAAAGGTCACTATTAGAAAGGACTATATGGAAATCAGAGTAGGATGTAAAATTATAGGGATTTTTTTCTATTTTATATTTCTTATTTTAAATGTATTAAAATATTAAAATAATTATTACTTGGAAAATGATGCATAAGTATATGTTAATATAATGTAGTCTTTAAAAAATGAGCAAGAAATTAATTTCAATGTAAATTATTTTTGGCCTTGCTTTTTCAGTGCCATCGTAAATCTTTCTATAATGGATTAAAAATTATTGTGATGTTATTGTTATAGAGCTAATGCCTGCCCTTTGTATAGTTATCAATTTTATTAAAGCCTTGAGCCTAATATCTATATGTCTTTACAAATATCATTTAAAATCTTTCTTTATAAAATCACTTCAAAGCCTCATTAGCACTCTATTTTTGGCATTATGAATAGAACAGAAATATGTCTTAGATTAGTTAGGCAAGCCTACTAATGATAAAGTGAAAAGCATTTTGCATACATGGTACAGTTTCTCAGTTTCAATAAGGAATTCTTGCTCTCCAGAAAGAATATAGCTCAGTTGGTAGAGTCCTTGCCTCATATGACAAGGCCCCGGGTTCAGTCCCCAGCACTACACAAAAAAACAATAACAACAGCAAAATACTTTCTGTTCAAAATGTGCCATTTTCAAATTTTACTTAATTCTAGTTATAAGATTCTTTATAGACACATTATTTCAGACTAGGAGAAGGAATTTATCTAGACTACGAAGTAGTGGAAGCAATATAGAAAGGTCTTTCTTCAAAATGATATTTTATATTTATTAGCATAATTCTGTAGCTATGAAACTTTTATTCAATGTTCTTCTAGTCACCTTGATTTGAAGTATTTACTTTGGTTGTTGTAAACTTTATCTTTAAATACAATATCACTTTTTCTTTCAATACATTTGTTTTAGTATTTCTTACTTCTTCATTCTTACTGTGATCCCAGCAGTACTTTTAAATTATTACACACATATTTATTGCTTTGCTTCAATACTTCTTCCACTTTGGTGAACTTTGTTTTTCGTATTTATTCTCCATTATATAATTTTCAAATGATGTTGATTCTTCATTGCATAGTTCACTGATTGCTCACTCAGTTTATAGCAATGTCACCCTTCCATTAATCAGACCATATATATTTGTTGAGCACCTACAATATGCTAGTTATGACTAATTTCTGTCGTGCCTATTACTTTCCTAAGTTGCACATTCTTGGAGGGCAATGACATTTTTAAAAATGACATTTTTAAAAATATCTTCCTTGGATTTCTTCTTATTAACTATGCTAGAAACACTTAATAAATGTTGTTTGAATATTATTGTTTTTCATTTCAGGACTGGCAATACATACAATCAAAAGGCTGCTTCTTCTTAGAAGAGGATGGCGAAATCATTAGTCATCAATACAGGATGCAAATAGCTCAAAAGTCCATGATTTATCTAACAATTAAGCCATTAAACCTGAGTCAAGTCGAAGGCAAGTTTAAATTTTCTATTTATTTTTTAAAATATCAACTTGTACCCTCTCTTAAAACATTTATATGAGTACTTAGTAGTCTTTGTTAGTGAAGAAAATAATCTGCCCAGGTAAGAAACAAATAATTATGTTGCAAGAAAGATAGTGTTACTTTATACATTGACTGTATTACCAGTTGCTTTGTGTTTCTGTTTGTGTTTAAAGCATGTTTTATTAAAATAAAATGTTACCTGTTTCTTCATGATATAGAATTAATGTTTATATGCTAATTAATCTTAGTCTTTTCCATTCTTTTAAAATTAATATGTCTAACAGAAGTTCTATAGGAGCATAATTTGGGATATGAAACTGCAAGTAATTTTGGGGGGAGAGGTACTGGGGATTGAACTCAGGGGCACTTGACCACAGAGCTATATCTCCAGACCTATTTTGTATTTTATGTAGAGACAGGGTCTTACTGAGTTGCTTAGCACCTCACGTTTGCTGAGGCTACCTTTGAACCAACAATCCTGCCTCGGCCTTCCAAGACACTGGTATTATAGGCATGTGCCACTGTGCCTGACTTGCAAGTAATTTTTAATACCTTTGAAGTCCATGTCTGTGACTGAAACAATCTTTATTAATAATCTTTACATTCTTTTTTAGTTAAAAATTAGTAATTTCATGCCATCTAAAAAGTTTATTAAAACTGGGCTGGGGTTCTGGGATTGTGGCTAATCGGTAGAGCACTCGCCTAGCATGTGGGAGGCCCTGGGTTCGATCCTCAGCACCACACACAAAAATAAATAAAATAAAGATATTGTGTCCAACTACAACTGAAAAATAATTAAAAAAAAAAAAAAACTGGGCTGGGGATATGGCTCAGTTGGTAGAGTGCTAACGTTGTATGCACAAAGCCCTGGGTTTAATCTCCAGCACCACACACAAAAAAACTGTTGATATAGAATTTTTAATCAGTGAAAGATGTCTCTAGGGATGCTTTGCCCAAATATCCTTTTATATTGATTGTTCCAAGTTAATCTTTTATGTTTTCATATAAACATTTTATTGCTAGAGGGAGTTTCCCCCACCTCCTAAAGCAGTGATTTTGAAAGTTTTCCCTGTATGTTTTGTCATTTACTTAAAATACAATATAGTTGATACTTTAAAATAATAATTTCAGTAGTAATTTTTCAGAGGTGAATCAAGATAGTCATGCAAATTTAGCCTTAAGTCTCTGTATTCTTATGAATTATTCTTTTATTCATTTATTTATTAAGTATTTATTGAGAGACTTATATGCCAAGTATCAATTTAGGTGTATCAGAGTACAAAAAAAGACAAAAATAACCCTTCTCATTAACTTATGTTTTAGTGAGGGTAGCAATACATAAATGTAATAAATAGGAAAAAGCATGAAATGTTATAAAGTAGTAAGTGCTATGGGAAAAAACTCAGAGGGGAAAAGGGTGTGAATGTTTATGGTAAGTGGGTTGCTGTTAAAATGGAGTCAGTCTATGCTTTGTTAAGAAAGTGATGTATGATCTCAGTGACTTAGGAGGCTGAGACAGGGAGGTTGCAATTTTGAGGCCAGGCTCAACAAATCAGTGAGGCCCTAAGCAATGTGGTAAGGCCCTATCTCAAAAAATAAAAAAGACTGGGGTATAGCTGAGTGGTAAAGCACTCCGGAGTTCAATCCCTAATACCAATAGATAGATAGATAACAGACATATGAACAAAGACTTTGAAACAGGTTTATCAATTATCAACTAATTCATAACAAAGTTTCCCAAAACTCAGTGACTTAAAAACAATTGAATATTTGTTTACTCTATATGTGTAGTAGATAGTTTTTATAGTCTGAACCAGGCAGGCTTGGCTTTTCTCTGTAGGGCAATCTCATATATCTGTGGTCAACTACATGTTAGTTTATGGCTGGCCTTTGCTGATCTTGGCTGGGTTCTTTCTTGAATATAGTGTCTCAGCTGGGACAACTTGACCCTGCTTCAGATGACTTCTCATCCTCCAGTAAGATAGCCTGACCTTGTTCTCATGGTGTAACAAGAATCTACAAAAGAAAAACAGAAAGCACAATAGGATCTTCTGAGGTCTAGGCTCAGAACTGGTACAGTACACAGGCGAGTCCAGATTAATATTGTAGGGAAATAGACTTGATCTTTGATGGAGGAGCCACAAAATCACATTGCAAAAGGCTGTTAATACTTGAGGGACAGCCATTTTGCTGTTTTCCACAGAAGGCAAACAAATAAGTTTTATGGGTGTAGGAATGGTGAAAAGGATGGGTGGAGGAGGAGGCAGAGCATTCCAGGTAGAGAAAGTACTGCATGCAGAGGCTTGAGGTGAGAGTATGCTGATGTTGGAAGAATGGAGGCTAGAGTGTCTGGAATGTAGTTGGTAAGAAGAAAGTAATAGGAAATCAAGATGAGGAGGAACAAGGACATAAACTAGAAGGGATTTTTTTTCCCCTAGTGAGGACTTGGGCTTTTACTTAGAGAAATGAAGTTTTCCTTATGACTAGAATCAAAATTTTTCTCTTTATCATTGATTTTTCAAGCAGTTTGAATATATAAGTGTTTTTTTGTTTTGTTGTTGATATAATTGTTTTGATTGGTGGATTTAATTGTTTGGCATTTATTCTGCGGAGGGTTCTCTGACCTTTTTAGATTTGTGACTTCTTGTCTTTCATTTTGTTTAGGAAATCTTCCTTTATTTCTTCAAATATTTTTTTGCCCTCTTTGTTCTTCCACTGGTTGATGCCTGACATCTCTTCCTTTGCTACACCACCACAGATAAGCCAGTGCTTATATCCAGGTCTCTCTTTTGAAAAGACTGTCTTTCAGGCTGCTTAGTTGCCCTATGACCTCAAGTCTGATGAGTTCAAGAAAAGTTATAATTTTTTAAATATTTATTTAGTTGTAGATGAACATACAGTATCTTTATTTATTTTTATGTGGTGCTGATGATTGAACCCACTGCCTTACACATACGAGGTAAGCACTTTACCACTGAGCTACAGCCTCAGCCCCAAGAAAAGTTATAATATTGTAGTTTACTCACTTTTTCTTATTGTTCGAGCAATACTCTTAGTTTTCTACTGCACTAGAAGATCATGAGTAGAAGGCAGGATATATTCTGACCTATATTTCAGCAAGAGCAGTCAGATTGATCTTTTGTTTGTTTGTATTTTTTTTTGTAGTTGTAGATGGACAGAATGCCTTTATTTTGTTTGTTTATTTTTATGTGGTGCTGAGGATTGAACCCAGTTCCCCACACGCGAAGGCAAGCACTCTGCCACTGAGCTACAGCCCCAGCCCCAGGTTGATCTTTTGAAAATATTTATGACTGAAGAGTAATCAAGAGATACCAAAGAGTCTACATGGGATGTTATTGCAGAATTCTAGAAAAAGTTGGCAATGTTTTGAACTAGGTTGTAGGCAGGAGGGGTGATAGAGATTCTGGGCATATTTTGAAAGTAGAACTAGAGGTATCCTGAGAACTGGTTTTGTATGTGAGAAAAGACAGGAGTTTAAAGATGATTCCAAGATTTTTGGATTGAGTTACCATTCCTTCTGATATAGAGATGAGGATAGATGATAGTTATTTTTAAGGGATTCAAAAGGTCAAGAGTCCATTTTTACAAACAGAAATTTGGTGAAAATGTCAAATAGGCATTTTGTTATATGGGACTGACATTTAAATGAAGGGTTCTAGCTGGAGATTTTAATTTTGGGGTTGTGAATACATAGAAGGTTTCTTTTACTTGGGACCTAGCACAGGTAAGCCAGTGCTAATCCCATCTCTTCCAGAAAAGGTCTGCATTTCTTTGATTTTGGGTATCTTGGTTACTCTGCAGCTTGAGCTTTGGGGAGTTCAAGAAAAGTTAGGATTTTTAGAAAGTGAGTATATAGAGAATGTCTTCATAGGTCACTATATGTAGTATATGGCTTATTGCAAATGTTAAGATGTTTGCATATAAAATGGAATGTGTATTTCTTTTTAAAAACTCCAAGGGGGAAATAACCTAACAGTTTCTTTTTTAAATAGGAAAAGAGCAAAAAGTGATTATTTATTTTAATGTGTTTGGGTATTTTTGTTTGTAGGAAAACTATCCCCTTGGTCATCAGTTGATACTGCCTTATATATTCTTAAGGAAAGTGAAAGTCAATCAAATCTACAGCTCGTGTGTTTTACTGAACAACGAAATAGAGAAGTATACATATTTATTTTCTAATTTTAATTTTAAAATATAGTATTAACTCAAGTTTAGGGAAAATTATCATTTTTCTGTATTTATTTTTTTTAATTTATATTCTACCAATTAAGTTATACAGCACTTAAATAAGTAGATATATATATGTATTTATATACATATATATATGTTTTATTAATTGTGAAGGACATTTTCTTGTTTACTGAGATTTTTAAGTATTGAGGATTAATTGGCAGGTTTGTCTTCATTACTTGTAAGTTGTTTGAAATCATATTTTATTTTCCTCTTTTCTAAATGCCCTATGCCTCACATGTGAACATTTTTTTTGTTATGCTTAATAAAAAAGATTGATACCAGTAGATGCCCCTCTCCCAAATACAAGCAATTCCAAAATTTGGAAAAGTTGCTCTAAATGTTTGTCTTACTTATACTAGTACTGCAAAAGAGAAAGAGATTTCTATCCTCAGGCTTGACTCATAGAGTCTATATTATAGACTCAAAAATTGACTGATGTGAAGAAATGCTTTTAAATGTTTTTATATGATACCCTTGGAGTTGTTCTTATATTTTCTAATTATATATTTACTCAAAGGCCAAATATGTGAAGTAGATACATAAATGTGACTGTTTATTTTATGAGGTCTACAAAATACATCTGCTACACAACCAACAGAAATAATACTATTCAAGGGCTTACTGCAATATCATATTTAATCTTTATATAGGCCCAACAACAGACAAACATTCCCCTGATGGAATGTTATATAAAAGTCTTTATTGTAGGCTTCCTAACAGACAAGAATAGTTATAGGCAAGAAAAAAATAAAATGGCAGAAGTTAATGTTTTGACTCTTCTTCAGAACTGACTACAATGTTAAAGTTCAAGATAAAGCATCACCTAAAACAATGGCTTTTCCCATTTTGTTATGGATGAAATTGCTTTCTCATGAGATTGTATGTGTTTAAAAAAAATTAGTGGTAGCAAGGCCATAATAAAGTTTTTTGAAAGAGTTTCTATTTACCACTTTAGTGTATAGACTTTTGTGTATTGGTAATATGTCATTTACAAATGACTTTTTAATCTGTATTTTTAGTTTCAAATTATTTAAGAAGAGTTTGGTGCCCATGAAAAACTTTCTATTTGCCATTCATATGTTAGTAAGCGGCAAAATATTTTTTTTTTAAAGTCTTGTATGTAAGTCCACACCTGGACAATCTAAAAGATTATGTTTTCCAAAAGATGGATTGGTAAATGTATAGTCTTCAAAATGACCTTCAGTTATATTGATTGTATCTTGTATCAAAGTAGGACATGGTGACCTAAGGATTATGGTTCCCCTTACAAGTCGGGGCAGAAATAACACTGTATTTTGAGTGTGAAACTCCAGGATGAACTAAACTATGCCTGGGTTTTGAAATGAATTTTTGGACACAATGCCTGACAGGATTCCTCTGGGCTAGTCCATATTAAAGGGCAAATAATTGTGTTTAGCTCTTATACATAATTAGAAAATACATAGGTTTAATATATTTGACAGATGAACCTTGTTTATATGAAATGTTTAGGTTCCAGAAAGCTCTTAGGAGGTATAGAGAGGAATACTATTTGCTTTCTTTTATAGGAAACTAAAATGTTTTCCTATACAAATGTCTTGATACTACATTATAAATATCTAATATTTGATAGAAATATAGTTTTATATAAGGCAGGATTATCTGGGATTCTGCATCTGCTTTTAATAGTATATGTTACATAAGTAGTAAAATACCACTACGTAATTGGGCTTTTACAAAAATGTTTAATTCATACAAATAATGGACTATTTAAATTTAAAAAATTTTTATTTTGTGTCTTTGGAATCTGGTTTACATATTATATATTTATATTTCAATCCTAGCAGGAAACCATAATCTGGAAATTTTACTTTTCTCAAAGGAGCTCAGTGTTTGCATTAAAAAATTATCCTAAGATTAGTCTTTTTTCTCTTTGAAGACATTTTCATTATAAACATATTTGAAGATTACTGGGGAAGATTTAGAAGATATACAACTTCTATCTATTATAGTTTTAGGCAATTTTTAACATATATAAAGAACTAAATCCAACAGTCTTGTACTTGGATTACTATTAAGAAAATAATTTGAAGCCTGTGAAAGATTTATAGAACTATAATAGAATAGGTGAACATTGATTTTAAAAATAATTTATAATGCTTCCCTTTCAGAAGAAAATTAAAAGTCATCAAGACTCATGTTGTTTTGTTTAATTCTTTTGAGAAAAGGTGTTTGGATGGACTGGTGAACTAGGACCTGGAATTTACTGGTTAATTCCTTCTACAACTGGCTGTAGGCTAAAGAAAGAAAGAAAACCAATAACAGAAGAAGCCCAACTTGTGTATAGAGATGAAACAGGAGAATTATTTCTTACAGAGGAATTTAGGTAAATTTTTGTTTTTTTAAGTTTAAACTGGAGCAGCTGGGCTCAATGGCACATGCCTGTAATCCAGGTTGAGGTAGAAAGATTGAAGTTCAAGGTCGGCTTCTCAGTTTAACAAGATACTGTCTCAAAAATAAAATAAAAAGGGCTGGGAATGTAACTCAAAGGTAGAGCACCACTGGGTTCAATTCCCAGAACAGTTAAAAAAAAGATTTAAACTCTAACATCTAGACCAGTAGCCTGTCTTTCTACCTTTCCTTTGTTTAGCTCCCATCCCATCCTCGTATTTTAATTTAGTAACTCAATTCTTGTGAAAATGTAGATGAACCTGGAAATTATTATGCTAAAGAAATAAAGCAGGTTCACAAAGACAGATACCTCATGATATTACTTACATATAGAATCTAAAACAGTCAAACTCATATAAGCAAATAATAGAATGATAGTTACCAGGGTCTAGGTATAGTGGGATGATTGGGAGATGTTGATTGAAGGATACAAAATTTCATTTAGGCAGGAGGAATAATAATAAAAGAATATCTGTTGCATAACTGGTGACTATAGTTTACAACAATGTACTGTAAACATGAAAATTGTTTAAATAGTAGGTTATAAATATTCTCACCACAAAGAATATTTGAAATAACTGCTATATTATTTAGTCTGATTTAATCATTCTACAATATGTGTGTATGATGTTATGAACCATGAATATATATTTTTAAAAGAACTTATTCCACTACGCAACTGAAAGTGTCCATCCATTCAAAAATCTGAGATTATCATTAATTTCTGGGTTCCAAACTTTTGACAAGTCAACATTAGTTACACATCTACTAACATCACTCCCACTAGACACTGCCTTTAGAAATAGATCCTGATAGTTGGATTCTTGATTTTGATAACTGTCAAATATGGAATCCAAAACTTAGGTAATTCTCCTTTACCCTGATTATCCATGTTAAGATTTGCCCATAGGCAGAGAGGAAAAGGAGGGAAAAAAAGGAAATTACTAGTATTTATTAAGTTTCTACTCTGTATTAAGATACTATGATTGCTTTAGAAGTTTGTTTATATCATTTATTACTAGACTGAGCCCAGAATGCACTTGGATACAGAATAGTTCACAAAAGTTACTTCCTTTGAATATTTTCCTCATAGCAACCTTCCTTAGTCTAGTTGTCTTAAAGACAAGAATTCATTTTCTATTTTTATAATTTTAGGTCAACTTTATTAGACATATTTGAAGTAATTGATTTAGATGGAAATGGTCTTCTTAGTCTTGAAGAATATAATTTTTTTGAATTGAGAACAAGTGGTGAGAAATGTGATGAAGATGCTTGGGCTATCTGCAAAGGTAGGCACTTCTCTTTTTCTAATGATATGTAGAAAAATATATAACATTCTTTTATTCCTAAGAAGAAGCCAAACTTCTCCATGGAATATTATGATAGCATTTAGGATGATTTAAAAATAGTAGCATTACATGTAGATTATAAAACTTAAAGGTTTATTTTTCTTAAACTGATGATGTGATACTTAAGTTAAAAGAAAATGTGAATTACTTAATTGTAATTTCATCTTTTAACCTATTCTGAGGCTTAAAGATGAAAAAAACTGTCCTAGTTCTTGATACCACTGAGCCATTCCCTGTGCCCAGGAGAGGGCAGCAGAGAGTTAATAAACTGGAGTTAAAAAAATTAAGAGGTCCTGAAAGTTGTTTATATATTTAAAAAATTTCTTAATGGTATTTTTTTGTATTTGAGTTGAATTAAAAATTTCCATATTGAAGCCCCAAATGCCAAGATGGACAGAAAACATAATTTAAAATGAGACAAAGTCATTTGCCACTTAAGATGAGTCTGGGATGAAGTAGGACCTGAGTATTTAAATCAAGTTTAAAGGGGAACAACAAAGCCATATCCATATATAGATTACAGAACAAGAAGTATGAGGAGACCAGAATGCAGCATATGCTGTCCCTGGGATAGTAATATATGCTTCTCAAAATTGTTTAAGCTTGGGTGAGTCGGTGAGCCAGGTTGGAGTCTATTTATCTAAACAGCAAGTAGGGTAGAAATATTATATCATTAATATAAAAATTTTATATTGTACAACTTTTTAGGTAAAAATAGCCAAGTTAAATTAGCCAATGATAACAAATATATATGTTGATTTATAATATTAAACTTTGACTAAGTTTGATAATATACATAATAGTGTTATCTTTAAGAAGGTATAATTATCATAACTTTAATGATATAATCTCAATTTGTTGGCAACAAAGCACATTCCATAAGAGTGAATCATAATTAGGTTTTTCTTATGATGAAATTGTTGATAAATAAAATTCTAGTCTAATAGTTTAATTAAATTGGCAGTGTGAAAATTTATATTTTTTGAGAACTTTTCATTTATCAGGTTCTGATCTGAGCAATTCTACATATCAATTCTGTGAGGCAGTGGTATTTTATTCTTACATTACAAATAAGGAAATAGAATCAAAGAGACTGAATAGCTTGGCCAAAGTCACACAGCAAGAAAGTTTCACAGTTGGGTTTTATAGCTAAGCAGTCAGACTTCAGAACCTTAAGCTTCCTGCTATCAAAAAGTTCCAAAAATGATTAACTTAAAATGATTGGGGAGGTCTGGGGATGTAGCTCAGTGATAGAGTATTTGCCTAGCATGCATATGGTCCTGGGTTCAATCCCCAGTACCAGATGGGAGAAAAGGATTTGAGGGGAATATCTCCTTCACTGACATTAATAATACTGTAAACTAATGTGAGCTTTTTATTTTCTGAAATGTTTACCTTCATCATCGCATGTAATATTATTTCAATCATTTTTCCCCTTGATAATAAAAATGTTATTTAGCTGTAAGATAATCTTTTTTTTGAGATGGGATTTCATTTTGTTGTTGGGGCTGCCTTAAACTTGGGACTGTAATGCCTTAGCCTCCTGAATAGCCGAGATATAGGTATGCATGCACCAACATGCTAAACTAAGATTATCTTAATTAATTTTTTTTAGACTTAAAGGTAGCTTCACTTTTATTTTGTTCATAGTCTGTTATTTTGTTAGAGCAGTTTTAGATTTACAGAAAAATTGAGTAGGAAATATAGAGCTCTCCCATATATCTGTTCCCTATCCATCCTCACCAAGTTTCCCTTATTATTAACATCTTCAATTACTATGGTACATTTGTTTTAATTAATGAGCCAATATGGATATATTATTATTAACTACAAGTTTACAGTTTATAAAAGGGTTCACTCTTGTGTGGGTTTTTATAAATATGTCATGTATCTGCCATTACAGTATTCTACAGAATAATGTTACTGCCCTAAAATTTCCCTGAGCTCCATCTATTTACCTACTATCTGTCCCCCATACTTCTGGCAACCACTCATGTAATTTGCCTCTTCCAGAGTATCACATATTGGATCCACACAGTATGTACACTTTTCTGAGTGACTTCTTTCACTTTTAACAATGTGCATTTAAAATTCCTTCAGATCTTTTCATGGTTTTATAACTCATTTTTCTTTTTGCTAAATAATTTCTATTGTATAAATGCACCACAGTTTGTATCTATCCACTCATTTATAGAGGAACATCTTGATGGCTTCCAGTTTTTAGAAATTATGAGTACAACTGCAACAAAACTTGTGTGCAGTTTTTTGTGCAGAGAGGTTTTCAACTCATTTAAATTCATTTTAATTTAGTGATTGCTAAATTGTATCACGAGACCATGTTTAACTTTGAAAGAACTGCCTGTCTTACAAAGTGTCTGGTACCAGTTTTGCATTCCCACCAAAAATGAATTAAAATTCCTGTCGTACCACCTTCTCATTAGCATTTGTTATTGTTAGTTTTCCAGATTTGGGTCATTCACAGATAAGTTATATCTTACTATTGTTTTAATTTGCAGTTCTCTAATAACATATAATGTTGAACATTCTTTTTGTTTATTTATTTGCCATCTATGTATCTTCTTTGGTGAAATATCTGTTTAGATCTTTTTGCCCATTGTTTAATTGGGATATTTGTTTTCTTATTATTGAATTTGAAGAGTTCTTTGTGTATTTTGAATACAAGTACTTTTGTTGTGTGGCAGGTCTCAGAAAATACACAAAATCCCAGTTTTGTCCAAATTAAAGAGTCTTTATTTAGCCAGCTGCTACTGCTCCCTGAAGGATTCATAACTGTCTCTGAAAGGAACAGTCCTGAGCCTGAGCATTTAGGACATTTAAAGGCAAAAACTGCAAAAACCACATCCGGGTTGACATAGCTGTAAGCAAGCAGGTGTAGAAGCTGAATTGGGCAGTTAGCAAGACAATGCAATGGGTAAAATGGTATTTCCCATGGGACTTTCCAGGTTGGCATAGCAGCAAGCAAGCTAAAGGGAAGTGGGTCAAAATGACCCTAATTGAGTACAAGTTAGAGAATGGTTGCTAAAGTCTGGACAATCAATCTCTGACAAGGTACATTGCCCAAGAAAAATGGAAAGCAAAGAGAACAATTTTACATTGTATAAGAATTGCTATTTTGTGTTGCCAAGTATGCTATGCTAGGTGACTATTAATAGGTACAGAGGCGAGGCTTTCGCATGGGAGAAGCATTTCTTACATGATATGAAGTCTCAGAGTAAAATTGAGTCTGTTTTGTCATTGCCCATGTAGCCTGGCCCATACACTTTATCTGGATGTGTATTTGGCAAATGTTTTCTCCTGGTCTGTGCTTTGTATTTTAATTCTTTTAACAGTGTCTTTCTGAAAGCAGACTTTTTTTTTTAATTAGAGCATCATAATTATATATAGTAATGGGGTTCATTTTGACAAAATCATACGTGCAAAGAATTTGTTTTCTCTTTCCCCATATTTTTTTTCCTTCCCTCTTCTCTCCCCATTTTTTCTCTCCTCTACACCGTACTAAACTTCCTTTCTTCTATATACACATAAAGGTGAAATTTCCTTTGGTACCTTTATATATTGATATAACATGATTTTGTTAAATTCACTCCCTTTATCTTCCCCTTTCCCTTCCTTCCTCCCTCTTTTGTTCTCCTTCTATTCCACATTCTTCCCTGTATCTTTATGATGTCCAATCGCCCTCTCCATCCACCGTTTTTTCTTTGTTTTGCTCTAGCTTCCACATATGAGAGAAGACATTTGATCCTTGATTTTCTGAGTCTGGTTTATTTTACTTAGCATGGTTTTCTCCATTCCTATCTACTTACCAGAAAATGCTATTATTTCATTCTTTGTGACTGAGTAAAACTCCATTGTGTGTGTATGTGTGTGTGTGTGTGTGTATATATATATGAGAGAGAGAGAGCACATTTTCTTTATCCATTCAGCTACTGAAAGGCATCTGAGTTGATTCCATAATTTGGCCATTGTGAATTGTGTTGCTATAAATGTTGAGGTGGCTGCATGGCTTTAATGTGCTGATTTGAGATCTTTTGGATAAGTATGGAGGAGTCGGATAGCTGGGTCATAAGGTAGTTCCATTTCTAGTTTTTTAAGGAATCTCCACACTGCTTTCTAGAGCAGTTGTACTAATTTGCAGACCACCGACAATTTAAGAGTGCACCTTTACCCTCACATCCTTGCCAACACTTATTTATTATTCATGGTTTTTTTTTGTTGTTGTTGTTGATAGACCTTTATTTATTTATATGTGATGTTGAGAATCAAACCCAGTGCCTCACACATGCCAGGCAAGTGTACTACCGCTGAGCCTGAGCCCCAATCCCAGCCCCATATTCATGTTCTTGATAATTACCATTCTGACTAGAGTGAGATGAAATCTTAATGCAGTTTTCATTGATTTGCATTTCCATAATTGCTAGAGATACTGAACATTTTTTCATACATTTTTTGGCCATTTGTGTTTCTCCTTTTGAGGAATTTCTGTTTAGTACTTTGCCCATTTATTGATTGGGCTGTTGGCTTTTTTGGCATTGAGTTTTTTGAGTGATTTATATATTTTATTTATATAATCCCCTGTCAGAGGAGTAGCTGGCAAAATTCTCCCATTCCATAAACTCTCACTTCATGTTCTTAATTTTTTCCTTTGCAGTGCAGAAGCTTTTAAATGTAATGGAATCCCACTTATTGATTCTTGGTTTTATTTCTTGAGCTTTAGGGGTCTTATTGAAGAAGTCAGTGCCTGCACCTTTATGATAAGTGTGTTGGATCCTGTTTTCTTTTAGCAGTTGCAAGTATTCTGGTCTAATTTCTAAGTCTTTGATCCGTTTTTTATTTGACTTTTGTATAGGGTAAAAGATAGGGATCTAAATTAATTCTTCTACATATGGATATCAAGTTCCCCCAGTATCATTTATTAAAAAGACTGTCTTTATATTTTTGGTATCTGTCAAATATCGGTGACTGTAACAATTTGGGTTTGTCTCTGTGTCTTCTATTCCATTGGCCTTCATATCTATTTTGATGCTAATACCATGCTGTTTTTGCTATTATAGCTCTGTAGTATAATTTAAGATCAGGTATTGTGATGCCTCCTGCATTAGTTTTCTTGTTCAGAATTGCTTTGGCTTTTCTGGTTCTCTTATTTTTCCAAATGAATTTAGGACTGTTGTTTTCTAGTTCTGTGAAGAATTTCATTGGTAATTTAATAGGGATTGCATTAAATGTGTATATTGCTTTTGGTAGTATGATCATTTTGACTATATTAATAATAGACTTCATTTTAATGAAGTCCCACTTAAGAATTTTTATTTTTTCATGGATTATGCTTTTGGTTTGTGTGCTTTTTTTGGGAGGGGGTACTGGGGATTGAACTCAAGGGCACTCGACCACTGAGCCATATCCCCAGCCCTATTTTGTATTTTATTTAGAGACAGGGTCTCACTGAGTTGCTTCAGCGCCTTGCTTTTTGCTGAGGCTGTCTTTGATCTTGCAATCCTCCTGCCTCAGCCTCCCGAGCCACTGGGATTACAGGCATGCACGTCCATGCCCAGCAGTTTGTATGCTTTTGATGTACCACCTAAAACCCCATCAGCAAACCCAAAATTGTCTGGATTTTCTGCTATATTATCTTCTGGAAGTTTTACAGTTTTGTGTTTTACATTTAAGTCTTTGAGCCATTACAGTTAATTTTTGTGAAACATGTAAGGCCTGTGTCTAGATTTATTTATTTTTGCATGTGGATGTTCAGTTGTTTCAGTACCACTGTTGAGAATACTTTATTTTCTTTATTGAATTGTCTTTGCTCCTTTGTCAAATATTAGTTGTTTGAGTGTATTTTAGGTCTTCTATTCTGTTCCATTGAGTTATTTGTCAATTCTTTCTTCCACCAGTAGTACCACACTGTCTTAATTACTATAGTTTTATAGGAAGTCTTAGAGTCAGGTGTTGATACACCTTTTAAACATTGTTAAGTATTAGGAACTTTAAGTTTCAAAAGTTTATTAGTCATTATGAATCTCTATAGTATCAAGACCCACTTTTTTAAAGTAAAAATTTTTTGTATTACATATCAAATATTAACTTTTTTCATCTGTTACCACATAATAGCTCCAACATTCCTCTTCATAGCTACCATTTCTCTCCATGATTTAATTTCATATTTTTTTCCTTGCAAAGGTATAAGTCACTTTTACCTCTAAACATTTTTAACTATTAAACAGTCAACCTGTTTCAGACAGGGTATTTCTCTGTTCACAATAATGCATACAAAAGAGACATTATATCAAACAAGAAAACCCATTTCCTTTGAGGATATTACAGATGGGAGTTAGGAAATTCACTCTTACTTATCATAGGACAGTCATCAAAATAAAATTCATAAATGGCTATTTATTATCCAAAGACACATTTGAGGATAAATATGACAGAGACAAATAAACATATTATAGACAAATTCAAAAATTAAACATATCTAGATACTTACAGGTAAATTTAGTTTTCTAAGAAATAATGTTAAAATGGGCATACTTGCATAGGAAAATGAGTTCCCCTTTATCTAATAGTCTTACAATGGCCAAGTGAAAATTCACTTAAAATTAGATGAATTAGGAATATAGTAATTTCCTTAAGTCTGGCACTATGCACATATCACTTTTTTAAACCCTAGTAGTTTGGACGATCTTATATCAAATTCCTTTAAGTTCTGCTAGGCTTAAGAGGAAAATATACATGAAACATTTTGATTTTTAACTATCAGTAGGAACTGTAAATAGGTAATTTGGAATTTATCCAGAAAAGTTACATTTTTTTTCTAATTTTAGAATACATTTGCAGTATTTATAATTTCAGAATTTGTTGAAAAAAATCATGTTCCATGATAGTACCAATTCTGAGTCACAGGAAGATAGAAGGTTAGCTCCTAAAGCATGTTTTCAAACATTCTACTTGTAGACTGCTTACAGATTCCTAAGATCACCTTTAAGATAAGCATTAATGAAGAATAATATAGACATATTATTAAATATATGAATTTTTGAATTATGTAAGAAAATATTTTTGGTTGTTTTAACAGAGAATTTTGATACAAGGAAGAATGAACTAACAAGACAGGGATTTATGGATTTGAATCTAATGGAGGCCAATGAACAAGAAGGAGATCCTCGTGATCTTTGGGTAACTCTACACTCAATGGGCTACAATAAAGCTCTCGAGTTGACAGAGGTAAAGCATTCTTAAAAGTTTTGCTAATAGGTTTAAGTGTTCATAATATTTTACCCCTTGAACTTTTTCCTGACACACAACTTTTGAATTGGTCACTGAAATCCTTGAATTTTAGTTGCATATGAATGAATCATAGGTATAGCAGTATGTTTCTCCTAGTTTCATTCTTGCCTGAATTTTAGTTACTGTAAACAGTTAAATAATTCAGAAACACAAGAGTTTTGAGCATGATATGTAGAAAAAAATTAGTAATTAAAAATATACACTCTTTAATTGGAGATGGCTATTTGAGTTGCTAAAGTCTCTTTTATATAGCAAAACTCTGCTTTAACAGAATAAAGGCTTAGAATAAGGAGAATGTGTCTATCGAAGAACTTGGAATTCTGATCTTTTTATAAATGGTACTTGGGTTAATATTTGTAAAACACCTGGAACTGTTACTGGCTCATATAAAGCACTAAATATGTTATATTATCAGCTGTGATCATCATTATTAATAACATGATAAGTATAAAAGTTGAATAAGACAATAAACCTGAGGAGTAACAAAAATTAAGCCTTCCTTCTTGAGTTCTATCTGCATTAGATTTAAAATACAGAATTTAAGAGTTTCAGTTTCAGGCCATATTAGGCAGCAATACATTTGTTTATACTCTTAAAATAAAAAAATAGTTCTTTTCCATATGTGAATCTAGAGGGCAAGACTAATATTGACAAATTTAAAATTTTAGGTACATTGAAACTTTGATTTAATTCCTAGTTTTGACATCATTCAACATCACTTATAAGCCTGTTTCCTAGGGGTTTTGTTGTTATTTTTTATTTGGAGTTTTTTGTTTTGTTTTGTTTTGTTTTGCCATTTTTAGTAATAAGAGACAAACAGTAACAGTAACTCTATATCCTACTTTAATTTTTTTTTTCCTCCAGTGCTGGGGTTCAACCCAGGGCTTCTCATATGCTAGGCAAGAACTTGACCACTGAGCTACAGCCTTAACCCTTATACATTACCTTAATCTAACATTCATTTAGTCTGGCATTTTAACCATAGTATATGATTGTAAAGGTCGGGCAAGCGTCGGAGGAAGAGTCCACCAAGAGACTGTCTCATGCAACAGCAAGGGGTTTATTGGGGGACCAGCATGCTGGGGCTCAGAGCTCACTTGAATAGAGCAGAGAGAGAGAGCCCTGAGAACAGCTTAAGCAGAGCTTATATACTTTTCTTGGAGAGGGCAGGGAGGGAAGTTCATTGAAGGGTCAGGACGAGTGGGCGGTTTGCCTGCAACCGAGTGAGGGAGTGCATTCTGCAGTTTGGCAGTTGGGGACAGCACATTCTGGAAACAAGATTAGCAAACAGTTCTCAAGATTTCAACAGTGTTTTGTTAAGCATACAGAAAAACGGAGTGACAAGTACCTATTTTATTAGCCTTTCAAGATCAGTATCTAATCTATGAACAATATTGATTCTGCTACACATACTTTTATCTAATAGAGAAATTGAGCAATTTAAAATTTATAAAAGCATTTATTAATGTAATTTACCTTTGAAATTATAGACATTAAAGATTTATTAGATAAATTTTTTGTTTAAATATTTTTTAATTCTCAATAGACCCTTATTTTATTTACTTATATGCGGTGCTGAGAATCGAACCCAGGGCTTCACATATGCTAAGCAAGCACTCTACCACTGAGCCACAACCCCAGTTCTAAAATTTTTAATTTAAATTTTATATATCGAATAGGTAATATATTTACATTGTTTAAAATTTAAAAGGCAAGAAAATTACATACATTGGAGAGTATAAAAAAATGTTATCGCCACTCAATAACTGAAATAAAAAGACAAAGCTACATTTATTGCTTACTATAAGGGATTTCTATGTAGGCACACAGTTGCTCCACATAGTAGAATGCATATTTTATTTAACTTAAGTTTTGGGGGAGACGTGAAATTCAGAGGTTGTCTAGCTTTTAAATTGACAGCATCTGGGGAAATATGGTTACTTGCGTGAAACTGTTGATTGGTTAGCGCTTGCTGGTGTGAATTTGTCCCTGACTGCCTGACTTGAAAAAGTGAGGAGCTAACACTGGTTGCTTTATTAAAGTGTGTTCACTGAAGTAAGCGTTATTTCTGATTAATTAAACAGGTTAACAACAGTTCTCATGGCTAATATTAACTGAGACAACAGAATAATCATTTTTTTTCTGAAGTTGTGAGAATTTTTTATTTTCAGTTTCCCCTTTTGATATATATCCTTCTAAAACTGTAGAAGAAACTATCAAAGATTCACCCAACTGCTGCTGATTAAAACTCTTTAGCAAGATTTTATATGTGGAGATATGACTTAATTTGTGCATTGATTGGGATTTTATCCTATTATGTGTGAATTATCTGTTGGCATAGTGACTATGCAGAATCATCTTAAGACTCTGGTCAATCGTTTAAAAACTCTGAGACAAACAAATATAAATATTATAAGAAACGACTGGAGGACACTCCTAGATTATGACCCCAGGTTTTTTAAATGTGGCCAGGGAAACAAGTACTAAAGATTCATTGAGTTTACTTTGTATAATCTTTTGTAGTTACCTCTCTTTAAAATTTTTATTTATTCTTTTAAATTATATATGATAGTAGAATCTATTTTGAGGTATTTATATAAGCATGAAATATATCTTATTTTAATTAGGATCCCAGTCATGTGGATGTACCCAATGTTGAGATTCACTGTGGTATATTCATATATGTACATAGGAAAGTTATGTCAGATTATCTTTCATTTTCCTATTCTCCCTCCCTACCTTTTATTCCCCTTTGTCTAGAAGAACTTTTGTTCTTCTCTCCCCCTGACCTTGTTGTGGGTTAGCATCCACATAGCAGAACATTAGAAATTTGGGGAATTGGCTTCTTTCACTTAGCATGATAGTCTCCAGATCCATCCATTTCCCGGCGAAAGTCATAAAGTCATTCTTCTTTATGTCTGAGTAATATTCCATTGTGAATATATACCACTTTTTATTTATTAATTCATCTAATGATGAGCATCTAAGTTCGTTCCAAAGCTTAGCTATTGTGAATTGTGCTGCTATGAACACTAATATGGCTGTGTCACCATAGTATGCTGGTTTTAACTCCTGTGGATATATATCAAGGATGGGATAAAAGGATCAAATGGTGGTTCCATTACTAGTATTTACCTCTTTAAATTACTGTAGATCTTTTTACTTGTAGTATTAATCTAATCTCACTATTAGCATTGGTTGGTCCCTTGGGTTATATAATGTAAATGGGTCATAAGCTATCTGTGGTAATTATTGTTAACCAAAAGCAGGCAACTTGAAAACCACTAAGAGTGGTGTAACCTCTATGGATGGGATCACTATCTTCAGGAGGTTTTTTTTCCAAAGGAGTTTGTAGTAGTCTCCCATTATCTGAGGTTTGTTAGCTATGGTCATCTGTCGTCCTAAGTGTTAATCTGCATGCTATTCTGAGCAGTGTGATAAAACCTTACCAGGTCCTGTATTTTCCTGGGATGTGAATTATCCCTTTGCCTAGCATATACATGTTTATACAAGGGGATAATTTAGTAGCCATTTTAGTTAAAGAGGGATTGTCCCTGTATCACAATGCTTGTGTTCAATTAACCCTTATGTAGTAGCCTAAGGCTATGTTACAATACTTATATCATTCATTTCACTTTATCTTATCAAGTAGGTATTGTATCATCTCATATCATCACAAGAAGGGTGAGTATAGGACAATAAAGTTTTTTTTAGCTAGAGAGATCACATTCACATAACTTATTATAATATATAGGTTGAACACCACTAATCTGTTTTGCTTTTTGTTTTGGGTATTGGTATTGGACTCTCTACCAATGAGCTGTATCCCCAGATCTTTTTTATTCTGAGACATAGGGTCTGGCTAAGTTATCCAGTCTGACTTCAAACTTGGAATTTCCCTGCCTCAACCTCCTCAGTTGCTGGCATGCACCACCATACTTGGCTCTGAAACATTTTTATGGACTGACATGATACCACAAGTGGAAAATTCCATACTAGGCTGAGTGTATAGCTCAGTGGTAGAACATGTGTTTTGCATGACCCTGTGTTCAATCCCCAGCACAAAACAAAACAAAATGCCAGAAAGAAAGAAAAAGAAATGGGGCTTGTTTCCACTAATGACAGAGATTTATACATGTGGACACACTGGATTTAAAGGTTGTGTATGAGATCTTTTTTGACTCATACAAGACGTTTTGACTGACTGATTTAGTTAATGCTCTGAGACAAGGAGGCTATTTGGCTCTTAAATTAATGTATAGGTTATGATAGTCAATGATTCCTCCATGTGTTCAACCTACATTTTTCTGTTTGCAAAAAAAGAAATATTTATGATAATCTAGAAAGAAACAATCAGTAATCTTAAAGTCTCTTCTAGTTGGATCAATATATATCTGAAGTCTTTTGCCCATAGTGATTTGGGAACCATACTGATTTCATTGGTAATTTTCTCAAATCACATATAACGTAAGTAATCTAATGTCTATGTGAGCTATAATTTGAACATCTGTAGGAACTGTAATAAATCTTGTCTGGAAATAGATTCTCTCAAATTTAGAGGTATTGTGTTACAAAGAAAGAATAAACAAATTGCTAGTCATAAGTTTTAGGAAAGGATTTAGAATTGTTAGAATCTTATTATTAACTGGTCTTAGTAAACCAAGACAAGTACAATTATTTTGTTTTAATCTTTCAAATTACTATATACTTTGAATTTGTCTTTTATTCTTTCCCTCCACAGTCACAACCATTTTTTATTCTTATTAAATTTTCAACTCAGATTTTAGAATTGTAGATTATATAATTATAGATTATATAATTCCCTATATAAACCCATAAAGGCAGAATCCCTGTCAAAGAAAACATAACCTTTTTATTGGTCTTGCTACAAGGGCATTGCCCCTGTAGTATCATACTTTTTTTTTCCCCCAGCACCATAACTTGTAAGCTGTTTTTTCATTGAGTGTTCATAAGCAAAAGGTAACATGTTTTCCTTTTTTTCCCTATTTCTTTTTTTTATAAAAAGAATTTTATAGTATAAATTTCTTTTGGAATTCAGAATTTGGAAAAATTACTTCATATGTTAGATTATAAGAGCTATATATCATATTTTTATTTCACTTTTATTTTGACTAACAGGTAACTGAGAGCTAACTATTGTACTAAATTTAAGTAGCATCCTATAATCTAGATTTTATTATTACAGTATTCTCTATCTTCCTTATTATTTATATATTGTTAAAAGTTTTATAATTAACAACTCATAGTTAGTCTTCTTGTTTGTTGCATGCTTCCAATCTTAATTTAGTAGAATTAAGAGAATAAGTAGGAGCTGGAGTTGTAGCTCAGCAGTAGAGTGCTTGCCTATCACATGCGAGGCACTAGGTTTGATTCTTAGCAACATATAAAAATAAATAACTAAATAAAATAAAGGTATTGTGTTCAACTGCAACTAAAAAAAATTAAAAAGAGAATAAGTAAATAAAAGAGCAAGGTTAAAAACAAAAAATAATAAAAATATAAAGCAGCTGTTTTAGTTGTGATAATATTTTATATTTAAAATTATAGAGAAAATGTTTTAACAAAGATCTTTAAAAATGCTTTGCTTTCAGTGAATCTTTAAATATTGGCTACTTTGTTGAATAAAATTGATAACCAAGACTTTTTAAATGGCAGAATATTATCAGAATATATTCAGTACTGAAAAAATAAATTAACCCTCTAAAATGCTACCATATTATAAATAATATTTTCTTTTGGAATTCTGCATCATAAAATACTTTCATACATATCACTTTATTCCAACAACATTGGCAGAATACATACTTTTTATTTTTTTATTTTTTTCCAATGAAGAAACTAAGCCTCACAGAAGTGAATTGATTTCCCCTAGCTCACATAGTGAATAAATGGAAAAGCCTGATTAATAAACCCAGGTTTGTTTGTTTGTTTTTAATTTGGTGCCAGGGATTAAACTCAGGGCCTTTTGTATGCTAAGTGTACACTTTACCACTGAACCTCACCCCTATCCCCTACTGTCTCTCTTAAAAGGGAGACTTTATTATCCAAAGTTTGGAGTTACTAAAATCTTTTACAGGTTGCAGATGTAGTTCATTGGTATAGTGCTTGCCTCGGTTTAATCCCCAGTGCTATAAATAATAATAATAATAACAAAAAATTGTGTTGCTATTCATCAAATTAACTTGAAATTTTATCTTTTATTACCCCCCAAAAGATAATTGATATGTGTGAATTTATTCATTTTTCAATATTTTTTGAATATCTACTATGTGATTCATTTGTGAAAGAGATAATGAGTAAAATATTCAAAATTTTGCCCACATAGAATTTTTGTTCCAAGAAAGAGAATAATTAGAAGAAAAATAAAATAATTTCTAAAGTGTTTTTTTGTTTGGTTGGTTAGTTTTTGGTTTTTTACATCAGAGACTGAACCCAGGGGTTTTTAACCACTGAGCCATGTCCCCACCCCACCCCACCCCTTTTTTTTTTTAAAGAGAGAGAAAGAGAGAGAATTTTAATATTTATTTTTTAGTTATCGGCAGACACAACATATTTTTGTTTTGTATGTGGTGCTGAGGATCAAACCCGGGCCGCACTCATGCCAGGCGAGCTCGCTACCGCTTGAGCCACATCCCCAGCCCCCCAACCCTTTTTTATATTTTATTTAGAGACAGGGTTTGGCTAAATTGCGGAGGCTGGCTTTGAACTTGTGATTCCCCTGCCTCAGCCTCCCAAGCTGCTGAGATTACAGGCATGCTCCACCACAACTGTCTCCAAAGTGTTTTTGAAAGAACCAAGCCAGAAGCTGAACAAGAAAACAGTGAGAAAGTGAGGGAACTTGGAAAAACAGAGCAGATCTCTCTACAGAAGTGCTATTAAGCTTTAACCAGTAGGAGAATGAGGTACCCGTACGAAAACATATGAGAAGAATCTGCCAAACGGAGAAAACACTATGTACAAAGTCCCTAACATACAAATGAGCTTCATTTGTTCTAAGATCTGAAAGATCAGTATAGTTGGAACATAGCAGAGCTGGAGACTGGGTTAGATAGAGAGACAAAGGCTAATATATGCAGCACATTGTAGGCTAATGTAGGCAGCACATTGTAAAAACTAAAGGTAGACACTAGAAAAACTCAATTCCAATTGCAGAGAATATTTTTAGATATCATATTTTATAGGTATTCTGGGCTATGTTTGAATTGTAAATGTATTTTTCTACCTTAGATATTTTTAGTATGCTATGTCCATGCACTATTCAGTTGTAAACATAATAATCTCTTCAGAACCCTTGATGAATTCTTTCTGTATCCTTAACATTAGAAAAGGCAATTAAATAAGATGTTATTAGGACTGAGCCAAATGGTGGGGTAGGTAGTATTGTAGCTTAATGGAGGTATTATTGTTTTACTAGGGGTGATATTTTTTGTTTGTTTGGTTTTTGCAGTACTGGGAATTGAACCCTGGGGCACTCTTCACTCACCTGCATCCCCAGCCCTTTTATATTTGACACCGGGAATTGCTAAATTGCCCAAGATGGCCTTGAATTTGCAATCTTCTTGCTCTAGCCTCTCAAATCACTAGGATTATAGGCGTATGCCACCATGCTCAACTTTTCCCTTTCTTTTCTATGAACAATATCAGTTAATAGGCTACCAAAGAGTTAGAATCTCATGCTTTTTTGTCAATTCATAATACTGAAATTTTTCTCCAGGGTTTATCAGAAGGAAAGCTAGAAAGTTTAATGCATCTTCTGAAATCATATGATAAATATATTAAAAATAAATTAATTTATTTTAAATTCTAGCAGAAGGCTAAAACAAGATTTTCTTTTTCTTCCTTATCAGGCATGTCCATTTGTCATTGATGTCTATGCAGAAAAATGCAAGCCAAGAATTAAAGCTGTCCATATGGAGGGATGCAGTGGGCAACTTGAGAAGGCCATTTGTAAATCTGTCCTTAACAAGGGTGATACCAAAGTAATGGGTGGCTATGAAAATATAATCATACATACTTATAATTGTGACACCTGGATAACCTCAGTTATTGAAAACAAGGTATCAATTATGAGGTGGTTCTCCATGTTTTGCTACAAATTTTGCTAATGTTATCTTCTGTCTTACTTTATTTTTGACATGGTAATTAAATATCCCACTATATTAATAATGCTTATAATGGACAAATATTCTTTTTTTGAGGTTTTTAAATTGAATTGACCATGATAATTCTTATGATTTTTAAAGACTTGAGATCACTCTTTTAAAATAGGAAAATAAAATATTTGGAAATCAATGAAGATAAAACATAATCTAATACAAAGTGTTTAGTTTGTTAGGGTCTACAGAAAATGTAAAACATGGTCTCTGCTTTCAAGGAGTTTATGGACTAGCTAGAAAGACAAAATTAGTATTTTTGAAAGAGATCAGAGAATAATTAAATGGTGAATTATATACTAGTGTTTATATGTACAGTAATTTTATTCTATGTGTATCTCAGCTATTTTTAGTTTGGACTGTAGAAGTTAAGAAATATTGTGATGAGGGGGACTGTCCTGTGGGATTTAAGCATTGGTAGATGACTAGAATTTAGATACACTAGGAGACAACCTATAGAAGCAAGGCAAACAGTGTAAAGAGAAATATGGGGAAGAATCAGTATGAATTACAAAGGAAAAAGCGAATAGCTGCTTTGTAGAAGCAGACAGCTTTGTTGGAAGTACTAGGAAGGAAAATAACATTGATATGTAGGTCTAGATATATATATTATCATGAAAACAAGATAGAGGAGTTTGGACTTGAAATAAGGTAGGGTCTCCAACTAGTAAATTTCAGTCTTCAAATGGATCATAAAGTCTTAAGTTCCTAAGATCCAGCATATTTCATTTTCTGCCTTCTGTGTTTCATTAGGATTAAAACTATGGAAGGGAATCAATATCTTATCCCATTCTCTCTGTTCTGATATTATCCACCATTGCATATCTCTCTACTTTTTTACCTCAAGAAAATTTAAATAAACTTCCTTTACCAGAATATGGTTAATAATACATTTTAGAGCCTACCATGTGCCAGGTATTTACATATATTAAGGCATTTACTTCTCACAACACCCTATGAGGTAAGTACTATCCTTGTTTTATACACGGAAACCTGAAGCACAGGGAGATAAAGTAACTTGCAGAAGGTTATATAGCTAAGTAATAGAAGACTTGAGAAATAAATCCAGATAGTCTAACACAATACTTTGTAACAATCATAAGGGAATGATCAGGCTCTTTAGCAGAAGAATATTTTGAGACTTGCATCTCTTCTGTTTATCAGTTTCATTCTGCCTTATCTTGTTTCCTATCCAGCCTAGAGGCCATTATTATTTTTCTTAACTCAATTGTCACTTCTTCCATAAAGTCTTCCTAGAAACCTAGTCTATACTAATGTTGATTTTCTGTGTTTCTGTAGTTCTTTAGGAATACCTGTTATATGTCTTAGCAAAATGTTTTGTATTGTTATTTTATTTGTATTCCCTAGATTATGAACTATCTCAGGAATTGGATCTTTTATATCAGTGTACCTAGAACCTATAACCGTGCCTAACACAGAGCTAATATTAAATAAATATGTTTATTGAATGAGTGAATGAGGAAGTAACACAATTTAATGGATGTTTCAGGCATACTAATTTGAAGATAGTATCAGAGTGAATGAAAAGCAGAAAAACTAGAAGTAAAAGAAATATAGACTATTATTGTAATAAACCAAGGATAAGATAATGTGACCTTAATATATATAATGGCCTAGGAATGAAGATAAGTGAATATCCAAGTCACATTTAGAAGAAAAGAGGATATAGTTGGTGACAGATTAGAAAGACTGAGGATACAAAATTCAGTGGAGCTAGTTTGTATGAATTTGTAATGGACCATATTATATTACAACAAAATTTCAGGATTTATTCTGAAGTTTACATATGTGTGTAATTTATTAAAGGAAAAACTAACAACTTATGAATTTTTTATAGTCAGATAATAAAGTGATTATTCACATCAACAATGAGCTGAGTAAAAACTGCATAAACAACAGGGGACTCAACGTGTTTGCAGTTGAAGTGGCACCAAAATCTACAATGGTAATGCATTACTTTCTACTCAAAGCTTTTGTCTCATTTCCTTGAAAATGATTTTTGCTATTAATGCTATAAATAAACATATAGATATGAGATGAAGTGAAAAATTATTTTGTAAGTGTAATATTCACATCAGTGTCATTCTGTATCCAAAAGACACAAGACTTTGGTTCTAATTAACTCTATTTGGTTGAATGGCTATGGGAAGTTGACGTATTGTGTCTGTTTCAGTCTCCTTAAAGGTAAAATTAAAATAATATCACTAGTTTTAGGTACTTCACAAGGTTATGTAAAAATAAAATGATATACACGCAAGCACTTTTGAGCATAGGTGTAAAGGTCGGGCGAGCGTCGGAGGAAGAGACCACCAAGAGACTGTCTCATGCAACAGCAAGGGTTTTATTGGGGGTCCAGCATGCTGGGGCTCAGAGCTCATTTGAATAGAGCAAAGAGCCCGGAGAACAGTTTAAGCAGAGCTTATATACTTTCCTTGGAGAGGGCAGGGAGGGAAGTTCATTGATGGGTCAGGGCGAGTGGGCGGTTTGCATGCAACCGGGTAAGGGAATACATTCTGCAGTTTGGCAGTTGGGGACAGCACATTCTGGGAACAAGATTAGCAAACTGTTCTCAAGATTATTAACCTTTCATAGGAAAATGCAAAGTAATATTAATGATAGTATTGATAGTAATAGGAATTTTAATAACCTCAAATATTTTTATCTACATTAAAATTTCCTGAGATTACCTGAGAGAGAAATTCCTCTCAGTTTTAGATAAGCCACTACATCAAGACTAAGAATGAGCTATAGTTCTGGTATTAGCAGAATTCTGGGTTTCTGATTTAGCCATGAATTCTAAGGCAAGGATAGATCAGTAGACTTCCAAGCTCTAGTGAAGAAACAAAAGAAATAATTGTTTATTCTTACCCTTTCTTCTCCATACTATCCATGGAATTCTAAAACATTCTAGAATGATTCAAGGTAACGCATAAAGAAAGATTATCTTTTATATTTCTCCATTTAAGATTTTAGGAGCTGGGTGTGGTGGTGCATGCCTTTAATCCCAGCCGTTTGAGAGGCTGAGGCAGGAGAATTTTGAATTCATAGCCAGCCTCAGCAAAAAAAAAAAAAAAAAAAAAAAAGCACCAGATTCAGCCAGCCTCAGCTAAGAAACTCAATGAGACCCTGTCTCTAAATAAAACACAAAATATGGCTGGGGACATGGCTCAGTGGTCTAGTGCCCCTGGGTTTAATCCCTGGTACCCTCACCCCAAAAAAAGATTTTAAGAAGAAATGCTTAGTGAGGAAAGGATTTTTTATTCCATATTCCACCACCTATCTTCATCCATATTACACACATATAGACTAACAAGTACTTTGTTAGGTAGGCTTTTACACTTTTTTCTGATAGATCTTAGACAAATATTATTGAATTTTATCTGCATAGGTTTTGTTTTTGTGTTGTCTTGCTGTGTTGCCCAGGCTAGTCTCAAAACTTGTGAGCTGATCATCCTGCCCAGCCTTCTGGGATTAAGGCACAGAGATATTTTTATATAAGGCATAGAAATATTGTCCTATTGAAAATTAGTACAGAAAATTAAATGTTTTCTATATTTTTTTATGCAGGTTTGTCAACATGTAATGCCTCTGAATGAACATCAAGAATGGCTATATTGTTGTGTATATTCCCTTATTTAGTAGGTAATTTCACTTGGTGTTATCAAGCTAAGACTTATTTTCGATTTAGCTTTTTATTTATTTATTAACTAAATGTTATTTGGTTTAACTGATGTACCTAATTAAAATCTATTTAATTTATATACATTTATATATTATGTCATTATATACTTCATTATTAAAATATAAATAATGTTTTTAATGTGTGGTCTTTTTATTAATTTAGTGGGAAATCTGAGCACAGTTTGTTTATGAAGAGTAAATAAAATTTATACAATTTTTTTAAAAGTAAAGTTTAATGAATTCTGTACTTTTGTATTATCTTACTCATAATAAAGCTAAACCATAAATATAAAAATAGCTATTTAATTTTCCAGTCATAAAAAAATTAAGGCAAAATTTGGAGAAATTTGTTTCTATGTTAAGAATCGAGAACCTAATAATAGTAGTAGGAATATTTTGTTCTAGCATTTAATTTTTTAAATAATTTACTTGTTGCTTTTAAGTAAATATGCTTTAACACAATAGGAATTATATATATTATTAATATTTAATGACACAGTATATGACATGAAAAATGATATTAAGCAAGTAAAAACTGTATGGCAATATGAATAACAAAGTGCTTGGCCAGGAAATGTTATCTTCTGAAATACAAATACCGTATGACAGACATTATTTTTGTACCCAGTACATGTTAGTACATAGTTTAAATGTCACTTGGCTTTTTGGTCTTTGATTTAAATATCTTTAAAATGGGTTGTTATTATCTAGCAATTTGAACTCTACAGATGATATGTCTTAAAAAGTAGTGAAATGTGAAAACATTTTATTATTTATCATGTTTTATAAATCCAATTATGTGGCCATCTATTCTATTTCACCAGTATTGAGTTACAGGAAATTGTCTATTATATTAAAAACAAAGTTTTTAGCTTTGGGTTTGATCCCTAGCACCTTTTAAAAAAATTAAGCTTTTAGCATAATAAACATAATCTTTACCCTAAGTTGTAAAGGAATTTTTATAATAGGACGATAAATGACATAAAATGGTATCATTGAAGCATGGAGATTAAAGGGGAAAAAAAATAATGAGCACTTAACCTTGCCTGTTACCACTATCACTACTTAGGTATATCAAGCCTTTTCTTTTTTTCCTACTACTCACTTATTGTAAAATGAGGAAAAAACAAAAATAACAACAACAACAAAAAAAAAAAACCCTGTGCTAACATAGTCCCATTTCAATTAGTCAGTAGAAAAGAAATTTTATTTCAAGCTGAACTTTGTTACAAGTTCAGCAGTGTTTGGATAATATTGATCTTTCTGAACACCGTATTTTCCAAGTTTCTGAACTGAGAAGAAACTATGAAAATATTTCTTTTCAAGGCTTCTTTCTGCCCATAGTTATATAATTTCTCCCAATTTCAGTCTTCTGCTACCTCAGGCCCTTTGTCTATACTGATTTCTTCTTACATATAGAATAAATCTTCCCTCACTCTTTTCTTCCTTCAGGTCTCAGTGAATATGTTGCTTTGTCCAAAAATCCTTTCTTTACTCCTCTAATCCACACTACTTTGATGGCCCTAGCACTTTGTGCTCACTTTGTTGCAGCACTCATTATACCATATTGGCATTGTGTTTGTTTATCCATATTCTGAGTTGAAAAATGGGACAGTTATAATCTCAGAATATATCTCATAAACTATATAGATATAAAATAAATATTGGTAGAACAGTTGAATGAAATGGGTGAAAAATTAAAAGTTGATTATGTTTTATGGATATTATCTAATTTCTCAAAACTGTTTATAAATTAAAATTAGAAGTATAAGAATAAAAATCCTTATTACTATTCAATTTCATCATCCAGACTTTGTTTTTAATTTCATTAATTAGTAGATAAAAAAACAATGGAAATAAAAATTTAATTTTTTCACTGATTATCTAAACATGAAGTTTTAGATTGGAGAATACACTAAATGATTTTCATAATTCCCTCTAACTCTAGAATTCTAGTCTAATATTTGACAATATTAAATAAATACCAGTTTAAGTATTAAATATCAAATACTTCCATAAGCAATTCTTAAAATATTATATTTAATAATTTTGTTTCTTTTCTATTATATATTAGAATAAACCTGTGTTTTTTAAAAGCCAGTGGCCTTCTTTTAGATCTATGTTTGATGTACTTTAAATATGTAGCAAAAACTTAACACTATACTGATCATTTTCCTGGATATAACCCAGAAAAATGGAAATGTATTTCTGATTTTGGCCACTAGAGGGTGAGAATACTATTTTCTTTGTTAGAGAGAGACGGAGAGGTTGATAGTGTTTCACAGCACGTGTGGAGTCCTTTATGACTTCTACATCCACTATTGGCGAATTGTATTGGACATTATGGCTATATGTAGACTCAGGCCTATATACCCCTTCTTACTAGAGATGTATACAAAATATTTCTAATTTGTAAAATGGATATTAAATCATCTGTTCTTAAACAGTACTTTCATTTTTAATGTAAATATAACAAGTATAAGGGTATATAGACATGACCCTGATAACTTTACATAGTAAAGTTATCTGTCTTTGGAACTCAATCCACTTAATTTCTAGGGGAAGAAAGACAACAAAATGTTTTGAGGAAAAACAGCAAATAGTAGAACTAATTTAAAGGAAATAGATGAGATTCTTGTGGAGAGATAATTTGGGAGCCAGGAACTAGTAGTAGTTGTTGATAGTCTTAAGGGGTAAAAGGGGTAAAAGATTTTGGTTACTTTGAAATGTCTGTACTTGTGGTCATACTGTCTAAGGATATGAAAAAAGGTATCTCCAGTTCTTATGAATAACTTGCAAATTGGCTGTATTTGTGATATCTGACCAATCAGTTTTTACTTTAAAAATAGGTATTCTACTTCTTTTTACAAATTTCTGAAAATACATCTGAATGTTAAGAAGAAGACCAACACAGGATAAAGGTGTTAGAATATGTTTCCTTTTTGCAAAAATTAAAATATTTTTCAAATATAATTGATAAATACCCAGCATTTTATATATTTTCATAATTTATTTTTCTTTTACAGTTGAACACAGAACAGTCAGATTAAGTTTAAGTCCAGCTTCAGTTCAATCACCTGTTTGAGGCTAAAGTCAGCATAGAATGTAAATGTAATAACAGTTACAGAAAATAAGTATTATAAGCTTCGGGCTGGTTCAGAATTGAGTATGCAGCATTACTAAAGAGTACATTTTATTGTGCCTTTTCTACACATCTATTACAAAGGTTAGCATTTTATTTAGTTTTTGAAAAAAAATTCTCAGTAGATAAATAAAAATATTAGGAGTAGGCTGAGGAGTGATGCATAAAGACATCCACTTAGCAAGTATCAATTGCACATTGCATAGTAAAGAAGTAGGCATGATTTCTGTCCTCAGGAAAAGAAAGAAATGAGGAATCAAGTTACATGTTAGATTATTAGGGACTACTGTTAAATCTTTAGTAACTCTGATCATTATGCGTTAAACTTGTAATGGGGATATGGAATCAGAAGAGGAAGGGAAGCCTTGCCCTGAAGTTTAAGGAGTATAGGGGTAGTTGAAAATCTTTGACGACTGAGGAATGAAGGAAATTAGTTTGAAACTCAAAAGTATTGATTTTTATTTAATTTTGGTTATGTAACATTAAGTATTTTACATTTTAAAAAATATAAAAGGCGCATGTTTCAGTAACTGTTGCACAGGCAGTGACTTTCTCAGTAGGACCCTTTGAGCTCAGGAAATAATGCCAAGAATTAATAAATGGGATGGCATCAAATTAAAAAGCTTCTGCACAGCAAAGGAAACTATTAATGTAACGAGAGAACCTACAGAACAGAAGATTCTTGCTAGCTACACTTCTGACAGAGGATTAATATCTAAAATATATAAAGAGCTCAAAGAACTAAATCAAAAAATCAAATGATCCAATTAGTAAATGGGCAAATGAATTAAACAGACTCTTCTCAAAAGAAGAAACAAATGGCCAACAAATACATGAAAAAGTGTTCAATATCATTGGCAATTAGAGGAATGCAAGTCAAAACTACAGTGAGATTTCATCTCACACCAGTCAGAATGGCAGTCATCAATACAAATATTAATAAGTGCTGGAGAGAATGTGGAGAAAAAGGAACACTCTTAATTGGTAGGACTTACAAATTAGTACAACCATTATGGAAATCAGTGCAGAGGTTCCTCAAAAGACTAGGCATGAAAACTCCATATGACCCAGCTCTATCATTCCTTGGTGTTTATCCTGAAGAATTAAAGACAACTACCCATGTTTATAGCAACACAATAGCCAAACTATGGAACCAGCCTAGGTGTCCATCAACAAATGAATGGATAAAGAAAATGTGGTATACATACACAATGGAGTTTTATTCAGCCATAAAGAAAAATGAAAAGTCATTTGCAGAAAAATGGATGGAACAAGAGACCATCACATTCAGTGAAATAAGTCAAACTTAGAAGGTCAAGGGTTATGTTTTCTCTCATATGCAGATGCTAGAAAGGAAAAAGAAAAAGAAAGGTGGAGATGGATCTTATAAAAATCCAAGGGATATCAGAGGAGGATAGGGACCAGGGACCAAAGGGAGGAGGTGGGGAGATATGGGGGAAGTGCTGGAGAGGAATATTGGCCGTATTATATTGTCATGTTGTGTACATGTGTGAATATGTAACAAAAAATTCCATAATTATGTACAGCTATAATGTGCCAATAACAATAAATAAGTAAATAAATAAAATACTGAGAAGTACTACACTGAAATATTAGATTAATTTGATTAAGCAAGTTTACACATGCTGGAAAAAAATGAGTGTGGGCTGGAAGAATCAAGAGACAAGCTAGAAATTTAATTGATCTTGAAGGAATAGGAGGGGCTTAGAAAGGGGAGGGAAATGGAAATTTCAGTTATTTTCTCATATTTTAAATTTTCCTAGCATGCCATATTATTATATTTCTGCCTTTAATATGACGGCAATAGGTAAATTAATCATACCTATTGGGTGCCTAATGTGTGCAAAGCACTGCTTTAGATAGTTTCTATAGAGAGGTGAACAAGCCAGACATTATTCCTGCCCTTATTTTATACACAACTCATCAGAGAAGATAGATTGTAAATATGTATTACAGGCTGTACCGCTAACATACAT